ATCCCCTCCCCCCTCTCCCCCCACCACCCCCCACCCTCTCCATTCCCCCCCTTCTCCTTCAACACCCCCCCCCCCCAATAACTTCAAACCTCTCCCCCATTCTTCACTAATTAATATCCCCCCCCCAATTTTCCTAAACAAACCTAAAACCCACCCCCAACCATTAAACCCAATAAAAAAAACTCCTTCCCCATCCTACCCCCCCTAAAACACTACCCAATAACCCCTACCCCCCCCCACCTCCCACCCACTAACCCCCCCCTCTCCCTACCCCACACTACCCAACCCCATTCTACCCAATACTATACCAATAACCCTAACATCCTACTTCCCACAATACAACCCACTCCACCCACCACTCCACAACCACACACAACCTCTCCTTAATTCAATCATCCTCCTAACATCCCACTACAATTTCCTCTATTACTTAATACACAAAACACACCAAAAAACCCAATCAAAACCAATTACCCCCTCAAACCCCCCCTCCCACAAACTCCCCCAACAACCACAAAATTCCCACACCAACCCCATACCCCCCATCCATCCCCATACTACTCTATCAATCTCCAAATATCAATCTCCCCCCACCACCCACAATAACAAAAAATAATAAAAAAAAACCATTACCCCCCCCAACAACCCACCCCCAATAAAACTCATAACCATCTACCACCCCCCCCACTTATTACCACCTCCACCCTCTAATCCCCCATCCACTACATCATCCCCCCCACCAAAATAACCTAACCAAACCCCACAACAACAAACCTCACCCCCCAACAACCCCCCCCCAAAACCCCCCCCCACCCACCCCCCCACCCACCCCCCCCAACACAACCCACACCATAAACACATAAAACACAAATCCCCAACCACCAACCCAAACCCAAAACACCACACCCCCCCCCCCCCCAAACACCCCCCCCCAACAACCCCCCCCCCCCACCCCACCCAACAAACCCCACAACCCCCAAATACCACAAACACCCAACACACACCCCACTACCAAAAAAACAACAAACACACCACAACCAAACCAAACCATATAAAACCACCCAACCTAAACCAAATTACCACAACCAAAAATCTCCAAACCAAAAATAAACCCCCCCCCCCCCCAAACCAAAAACCCCCCCCCTACCAAAAAAAACTCATAACCCATCCCTTCCCACAAAAAACCCCCCAACCTCTAATCCAAATTTACTCAACACCCAACCATCCCCTACCACCCATAACACATACCTCAATACACCCCCTCCTCCCCCATCACCCCCTCACCCCCACAACCAACCCAAACCCACACCCCACTCCAACTTCCAAATCCCACCCCCACCTCTCCCCAACCCCCCCCTATAAAAAACAAAAACCAACACACAACCCCCCAAACCCAACAATCCAAATCCAAATCCCCACTCCTCAATCTAAACCCAAACCCCCCCCCCAAATAACCCTTAACATCCCAACCCCCATACCCAAACAAACACCCCCACTCCCCCCCCCAACCCACCATTCCCATAAATCCCCTCCATTACAAAAAAACCACTCCACCCCACATCAAACATCAAATCCCCAAACTACCATCCCCAACACCATCCTTATCCCCATTTATTTCAAAAAAACAACCCTATTTTTTAACTTACTCAAAACCTCTCACCAATCACCCTACCCCCCCCTCACCAAATAACCAACACCACACCAAATCCCCCCCTCAAAAAAAAAAACACCATCCCCCAACACAAAAATACCACCACAAACACCCCCAACAACCCCCCAATATCCCCCCCTTCCCCCCCCCCCCCACCCATTCACCCCAATCACCCCTACCAACACCCACCCAACCCCCAACCAACACCCCTCAATAATATAATACCACTACATACCCTTAAACATCCCTCCCCCCACCCCAACAACAACATAAACAATATCATACAAAAATCTCACACACATTACATACCTACATCCCCACCCATCCACCCCCAAAACCCCAACCCCCCAAACCATTAATACTTAAAACACACAAACCACAAAAACCACAAAATTAGACATCCCCCCCTCCACCATCCAATCTCTTATCTACCCCCCCTTCTTCCTTATCACAACATCTATATCTCCACTCCAATCACAAACCCCTATTTTTAAAATTACCCTATTTAAACCACAAAACCAACCCCCCACCTCACCCACCTTATTATCTATTATAACTCCTTAACTCATTAATACCAAACCCACAACCCAATAACCAACCTAACCCCAACACACCCCACATACAAAAAAAACCCCCCCAAACCATTCCACATCACCCAAATCCCCAAAACTCCCCAATATCCCCCCACTCCCCCCACCTCACAAACTAACTCCCCCCCCCCCCCCCCACCCCCCCCCCATCTACAAAATCCACACCACACCCTCCCCCTAAACATAAATCCCCCTCAACCCCATCCCCCAAAATAACATAACTAACCCCCCAAACCCACCCCCCAACACATAAAACACCCACCCACAATCACATACATAATACCCCCACCCCCAACACCCCTCATCCACAACACACATACCCCCCACCCTCCCAAACCATTCAAAAAATACCCCCCACCCCCACCACCCACCCCCCCCCCAAAAACACCAAACAAAACCACCCCCCCACACAACCCCCCCCAACCCCAAAACCCCCCACCCAAAACAAACCAACAAAAAAACCCAAAAACCACAACCCACCAACACCCAAACAAAAAAACCAAAACCCACATACAACACAAACCCAAAACACACCACAAACACCCACACCCACCCCACAACACACAACCCCACCCCACCCCACCAAACCCACCCCCACCCCCAACACACCCCAAACCCACCCCACCAACCAAAACCCAACAAAAATACCCAAACCACCACCCAACCACCCCAACAAAAACATATAACCACAACTAAAACAAAAACCAAAAACCAAAAAACCAATACAAAACACAAATAACAATAAAAAAAAACACATCACCCACCACCCCCCAAACAAACAAACCAAACCACCCACACAACACCAAAACCCAAATAACAACCAACATTTACAAACAACCCCAACACACCCCACACACAAAACCACCCCCCCCCCCCCCCCCCCCCCAAAACAAAAAAACCACCCCCCAACACCCCCCCCCACCACACCAACCCCAATCACTCCCCATACCCCCCCCCCAATATCCCCTCCCATAACCCCCTACTTCAAATATCAATCATCTCCCCTTCCCCCCCCCCCCCCAAAAACAAATCATATCCCCAAATTCCCCAATTCAACCCCCCCAAATCCATCAAATAATCCCCCAATTCAAATCCAAAACCACCAAATAACCCCATCAAATCACAATACCAATTACCCCATCCAATACCCAAAATCAAACCCACCCAACCACCACCAACCAACAAAAAAAACAAAAAAACCAACCCCCCCCCCCCAAAACCACACACCCAACACCAAAATCACACAACAAAAACCACCACCAAACCCCCAATCAACAACAAAATAATAAACAAAAAAAACCAATCCACAATAATCCCTACACCTACCCTCAATCCCAAATACCATAAAAAAACCTAACTCTAAATCAAAAATCCAACAAAAAAACAACATAACATAAATACTAACCCACACCAATATACAATCCATAACATCCACCTAATACCAAATTCAACACCCAAAAACCTCCAAAAATAACCAACCCACCCCAACACACCAAATCCACCTCATACCCAAACCCCCCCCCCAATCAAAACACAAACCTTCCCAACCATACCCCCCTACTTCCTATATCATTCTTACACAACCCAAATCTCACATACACCACCCAATCCAAACAAAACAAAAACATCTAAATCAAAAACCAAACAACACATCCCCCCCCCCAAACAACAACAACACCCCAACACCAACACACACAACCACCACCACACCCCCCCCAACCACCCCCACTAAACCCTCCACCCCACAACACCCCCAACACCCCCCACTCCACCACCCAACACCCCAACCCACCCAACCACCAAACACAACCCAACCAAACACAACACCCCTCCCAAACAACCAAACCCACCCCACACAAACAACCACCAACCCCCACCCCACACACACCCCACAACCCCACCCCCACCCACCCCCAAAAAAAACCACACCCCCAAATACAACCACACCAACAACAACCCACCCAAACCAACCAAACCACCAACAAAATCAATCCACCCAAAACCCAAAACACCAAAACAACCAAAAACCTAACCCCCCCAAACACACAAAAACCCACCCCAAACAACCCCCATCCCCAAATATCATACAACCATACAACCCCCATTAAAACATCCCCCCAAAACTATCCCCCCTCCCATAAACCCTAACAACCCCCCCCCCCCCCCACCACACCTACAACACCCCCCCTACCCAAACAACCACAATAACATTCCCCCCAAACAAAACTCCCCACATAATACTCCTCAACCCCTCAAAACAAATTCCCCCCAAACCCCCCCCCCCCACATCCAACTCCCACCCCCTACATAATCAAAAACCACAACCTTCAATCCAAAATCACCACAAAAAAAAACCAACACAACCATCCCAACTCACTACACCTTCCCAATCCCCCTACAACAAACACCCCCACACCCTAACCACACCCCCCCCCCCTCCAAAAAACATCCATCATCCCCAACTAACATAACTTACCAACCCCCCCCACACCCCCCCCCATTCCCATAACCTCACCTCTATACAACTAACTATATACACATTAACATCACCCCCCTATAAACATCACCTTTACACCCCCCTCCCATATTAACATACTTACACATACCCATACCCATACCATAATAATATTAAATAATTTATACAATACTACATATTAAATAATTATAACTTTATCCCTCCCCTATTCTCCCCTCCTTCCTATTAACCATCTCATACCCTCTCATTTTTACCCCACCACATATTCCACACTAACAACAAACTACCCTAAAAAACACCCCCACACCCAAACCAACACCCACAAACCCACCCCCCACACAACAAAACACCAACCCTCCCTCAAAACCACCACCAATAAACCATCCCCCCCCAAAAATCCCCCCCCAACCCACATACACAAAAACATAAAACTACCTATCTTATCCACCTCATATAAAACCCCCAACTCACACAACCTAACCATCCCCCCAAACCAACCACCTCAACCCCAACACCCCCCACATACACATATACAAACATACCCACCAAATCCCCCTCAACCCCTCCCCCCCCACACCAACCCATCCTTCCCAATCACCCCCCCCTCCACCAAAACCCCAAAACCAAAATCCCTTCCCTCTCACCCAACACCCCTAACCAACCAAACCCCCACCCCCCACAAAACCCCCCCCAATCCCTCCCCTTACCACTTACAACCCATACCCCCCACTTACCCACATCACAATATACACCAAAAATCCCACACAAAATCAAATCATAAACCCTAACAAATACACTACCCAAACAAACCCATCCCCCCAATATTCCCCTCACACATACCACAAAAACCCCTCCTCCTTATCAATTCCCCTTATCCATCTATCCTCCCCCCCCCCCCCTCCCATTTCACCACCATACTCATCAAACTTACACTCACAACTCTACTACCCTTCTTAATATCACCAAAAAAACCCAAAAACCCCCAAAATATAAACATAAAAAACCTCAAAAACCTATACCACATCTTATCTTATATAAAAAATACCTAAATACCCCCCTAACTACCCCCCCCTCCTTCCCATCTATCATCACTTCCCAAACTCCCCCAAACCCCCCCCCCATAACATTCCCCCAAAAAACCATAAATATCCAAACACTAAAACCCATATAAAACCCCCAATCAACCACCATCAATATCATTATCAAACCCATTAAAAATAACCTACCCAATCTCATCAATAATATCCCACTTTAACACCCCTCCACCCAATACAATCAAAACAATACAATACTCTTCCCTACCCCTACATACCACCCCCATATTAAATTCCTAAACCCAAAAATAACATAACCCAAAAATAACCCACCACAATATCCACCCAACCACCCCCTCCCCCCCAAAAATTTCCACCCTCCCCTCCTAATCTCATAAACCCCAAATACACATCAACATCTTCATCAAAACCTCCACCTCCCTACTACCCACACATAAAAAAACTCACCTATACCAAACAAACAACCAATAACAACCCCCACACTCAACAAAAACACAAATCAAACCCACCAATCACAAAACCCTACAAAACAAACAACTTTCATCAACCCCCCCCCTCACCCCTACATAACCCCAATACAAATACTACCCCCATTCCAACCACATACATATCTCACACACAATATCCCACAAACTATATAAAAAAAAACCCCCCCATAAAAACCAACAAACAAACCCAACTACAAAACAAACCACACTCCCACCCCCAACACCCCACCCCCAAACCCCCAAAACAACAAAAACCAACCAAACCACAACACCAAACCAACCAACCCCCCCAAACCCACCAAAAAACCAACCAAAAAAACCCCAAAACCAAACCCCCCCCCACAAACCCCACCCACCAACCACAACCACAAACACAACCCAACACACCCCCCCCCACCACCAACCCCCCCCCCCACCCCCCCCCACCCCACCACACCCCCCAAATAAACCCCCCCACCCACCCACACACACCACCCCAAACCACCCACAACCCACACCCAAAAAACCCCCACACCCCCCCCTAAACAACACAACACAAACAAACACCCACACCACCCCAACCAACACCCCCCCCACACACCACCCCCACCACACCCAACCCCCCCCCCCCCAACCACCAACCCAACACCCAAACCCCAACCCAACACACCACCCCACCCCACCACCACCCCCCACCACCAAAACCCCCCACAACCCACCACCTCCCCCCCACCCCCCCCCCACACCACCCAACAACCACCCACACCACCAACACCAACCCCAAAAACCCCCCCCCCCCCCCAACAACACCACCACACAAAACCCCCATCAACAACACAAACAACCCCACCACCCCACCAACAACCAAAAAACACCACACACCCCAACCCCAAACCCCACCAAACAACCCCCAAAACAACCTCAATACCCCCACACACAACAAAACCCACACCCCCCCAACCAACCACAACCACACCCAACCACCCACACCACCCCCCACACCCCACACCCAACCCACCCCCCCCCCCCACCACCCCCCCCCCCAAACCCCCCCACCAAACCCAACACAACCCAAACCACAACAACACCAACACCCACCCCACCCACCCCCCCCCACCAAACACCCCACACCCCACCCCCCAACAAAAACCCACAAAACACCACCCCACCCCAAACCCCCACAAAATAACACCCCCCCCAACACCAAAAACACCAATACACCAAAACCACCCACCCCCCCCCCCAAACTCCACACCCAAAACCAACAACCCCCACACAAACACCCCCCCCACACCCACCAAACACACCCACCCACAACCCAACCAACCCAAACCCCAAACCCAAACACCAAACACCAAAACCAAAACCCCCACCCACCCACAACACCAACAAAACAAAACAAACCCAAACACACACCCACCCCCACACCACCCCACCACAACCACACACCCCCAACACCCCACACAAACCACCCCAATAACCCACACAACACAAAACACCACCCACCAAAACCCCAACAACCCCAAACCAAATACCAACCCACACCAAAAACCACCACACAACACATCATTAATAACAAACCCAAAACTACACCCACCAAAAACCCCCCAACCAAAACAACCAACACCCCCCACCCCCAAACCCAACCCAACCCCCCAAAAAACACCCAAACCACAAAACAACCCCACACCACCAACAAACACAAACCAACCCCCAAACCAACAACAAACAACACAAAACAACCAACCAACACCCCCCCCAAACACCAACACCAAAACCCACCCAAAATAATACAAATACACACCAAACCCCATCCTCCCACAACCCCAAAAAACCACAACCCCCAAATCATAACAACCAAAACCCCCAAATAAAACACACACCCACAAACCCCCACACAACACCACCCCCCAACCACAACCTCACAAAACCCACCCCCCCCAAACACCCCTTCCCAACCCCCCTATCCCCATCCACCCCCCCCTACCCCCAACACTATACAAATAAAAAAAACCCCCCACACTCACACTAAAACATCAAAACCCCCCCTCCAACCCCCAAAACAACAATAAAACAAAACCCCCCCCCCCCAAACCCAAAACCACAACCCCACCCCCCCCCCCAAAAACCCCCCAACCCAACAACCCCCACATCCTCAAAAAACACCACAAAACCTAAACACCCCCCCCCACCAAAAAAACCAACCCCCCCCCCCCCCCCCCCCCCCCCCCCCCCCCACACCACAAACCCCCCCACAACCCAAAACATTCAAACCCCCTCCACCCATAACAACCCCCCCCATAACACCCCTTCAACAAAACATCCAACCCAAAAAACCCAACCCCAACAAACACCAACCCAACAAACACCAACAACCCCAACCCCCCCCCCCCCCCCAACCAAACCCACCACACCCAACACACCCCACAACCCACCACCAAAACACAAACACCAAACCCCAAACCTCAAAACAAAATCTCACCCAACCACTACCAACCACAAACCCACAACCCCCCACCCCCAAAACAAACCCCCACCCCCCCCAACCAACAACCCCCCCCCCCCCCACACCCCCCCCCCCCAAACACAAACCCCCCCCCCCCCCACCCCCCCCCCCCACCACCCACCCCCCCAACCCACAAACACCCCCAACCCCCTCCCCCCACCCACAACCACCCCCAACCACACAAACACAACAACCCAAACAACACAACACCCAACACAAAACACTCAAAACCCACACAAACAACCCCAATCAACACACCCAACCACCACTCTACCCCACACAACTACCCCCACAAAAAAACACCACCACCCTAAAAATATATAATCTCTCTAAAAAACCACAATCAAAACCACATCAAACTTACCATCCCACTCCATTCAACATCACCCCAACTACCCCCAACCTACAAACCATCAACATAACACCTCTCCAACAAACCCCACCAATCCAAATAATCCCCCTACTCAACTATCCCCATAAAAAACAACCCTACAAAAACCCAAAACCATATCAAAAAAAACATCCCAATCACTAATATAAACAACCACACCCCACCAACACCCCCACCACCCACAACCCCCACCCCCAAAACACCCCAACACCCACCCCCCACCCCACACCCAACACCCCCCAAAACCAAACAAAACTCCAAACCCCCACCCACAACCAACAAAAACCACCACCCACAAACCAAAAACCCACCCCCATCCATCACAAAACACAACCACACCCACATCCCACCATAAAATAAAACCCTTACATTACTCCACCTCCACAACATAAATTCCACCATCCCATCCCCCTCCAACTCCCATTCATCTACCCCCCCAAACACACCAACCCCACAACCACCACCACCAAAACATATCCCACAACAAAACCCAAACTCAAATACCAAAAAAAAAAATCCCAACCCCCCCAACAAAATACCCACCCATCACCCCCCACAAATCCCCCAATACATACCAACCACCAACAAAACAACCATAAAAAACCAACAACCCCCCAAACCACCAAAACAATCAATAACTTCCCCCCCCACCTCCCTCCTAACATCCTTCTCATTCTAATATATAAAAAAACCCAAACCCCAACCAAACCACACAAAACCCCCCACCCTCCCCCCACCCACACCATAACACATTAAACACCCCACCCCCCAAATTCCAAAAAAAACCAAACAATCAATACCCCACCAAACCCCTAATAATATCCCATCCACATATAAAACCCCCTACATTCTACCCATCCCCCCCCCAATTTAAATCCCCCAACCTATCCCACATAAAACAACCCCCCCCCCATAATACACAATATACTAACCCACTTTCACACCACCCTTCCCCCCAAACATCTTACCCATCACCCCACAAACACCCCCAACAACACCTCCCCCCACCCAATCCTCCCCCACCAATCCAAACTTCATATTCCATACCTCTCAATCATCATTACCCCCCCCTCACTCCATTCTCCTCCCTCACCAAACCATACCTATCAAATCCCTCTTCCCCACTTAATAACTATCCCCTCTTTATTACATCTACAAACCTTCCCCCAATCAACCATCCCCAACCCCCCCCCCCACAACATCAAACCCTCATACATCCCCCTCTCCCCACACCCTATCACCCCTTCCCCAACCTACATCCTCCACATCAAACAAAACTACACTCCACCCCCCCACCCAAACACCCCAAAAAACACACCACACAAAACCCCTCCAAAAACCCACATCCTCTCATACCCCCTCCTCTCCTCCCCCCCCCATTTATCCCCCCACCATACCACCCCCCCCCCTCCCCCAATAAAACCCCCAACCCCCACTTACCCCATACCCACTATCCACTCCTCAATTCCCAAATCCCATAAATCATCTACCACCACCAAAACCTCCCATCCCCAACCCTTCATTACTTACTCCAAATCTACCACCCCCTCCTCAATCCCCCCACATCCAATACACCTTAACCTTCATTATTATTTTCACAAAACAATTCCACAAATTCTACCCAACTACCCCCCCCAATCTCAATAATCACCCCCCCCCCCTATAAACCCCCCAAAACCAAATAACCTACCCTCCCTTCAACTCCCCCCCAATACCACCCTACCCACCACCCTCCATTAAAAATCCCCATCCAACCTAATCAATACAAACCATCACCCCCTCCCCCTCCACCCCCCACCCCCCCCCCCCTCTCTCAATTTCATATTATACCCCTCCTCAAATCCCACATTCCATAACTAATCCCCAATCACCCAAACAAATACACCCCAAACCCCCCCCAATCATCACCAACCTCACCAAAAAACTACAACTCCAACACCTACCCCTAATAAAAAAACCCCCCCTACCCAACTCCCATATTACCACCACCCAACTCCCCCCCCCCCCCCCCATTCCATATATACACAACCCCCCCCCAACCCCCCCACATCCCTCCCACAAAAAAAAAAACCTCCCCCCCCTACCCTCATCCATAAAATACCCCACATCCACTTCCCATCATCCCCTCAAAAAACATACCCCTAATCACCTAACCAACAAACCAACCAACCTCACCATAACAAACCAAAAACACCCTAAAAACCTCTTCCTAACAAACACAACACATTACCCCCACCAACAAATCTTACAATACAACCACACCCCCATCCCCCATCCAACACATAACCATAATCAACCAACACTATAACCCAAAACACAAAAAAAACCCCACACAAAAACAACACCAAATAACCAACAAAATAAACCCCCCCACCCTCTATCACATCCCACCCCTCATTACCCCTCCCCCCCAATAATACAAAATTCCCAAACAACTTCCCCCTCCCCCCACACAACTAACCCCAAACAACTAAACCCCAAACAAAACCCCACAAAAACAACCCCCCAACCCCCAATTTCTCCACCATAAAAATAACAAACAACAAATATAATCCCCCATCCCAATTCCCCCCCTAACCCACACCACACTCTTCAACAAAACTCCAAATCCCACACCAAATCCCAATCCAAAAACTACCAACCAATACCCCCCCCACCCCTCCATTTCCCATACCCTAACAAACCAAATCTCCCCCCAACCCACACTACCAACAACCCATACCACCCCCTACCAAAAACCACCTCAAACAACCACCCCAACCACCAACACACCCCAACCCCACCCACCCCCCACCCCCACACACCCCACCCCCCCCCCACACCCACCCACCACCATCACCCCCACCAACCCAATCCAACAACACATACCACCAACCACACCCCCACACACAAACCCCCCCACTCAAAACCCCAAACCCCCCCCCCCAACCCCCCACCCCACACACACAACCCCAACAACCCTCCACCACCCCCCAAAATCCAACAAAATAACAATCACACCAACCCCCACCCCCCACCCCCCACAAACCAACCATCAAACCAAAACCCAACCTATAAAACACCCCCCCCAACACCCCCCCCCAACAACACAAAAAAAAACTTCAAAACACCCAACACCCCCCCCAACAAAACCCCCCACTAAAACCCCAACAACACCCAAAACCCACCCCCCTCAAAACAACCACACAAACCAAACCCCCCCCAACCCCCCCACCCCACCCCCCACCCCCCACAAACCCCACCCCCCCCCCCCCCCCCCCCCCCCCCCCCCCCCAACCCCCCCCCCACCAACACCACAACAACCCCCCCAATATCCCACCCCCCCCCCTTACCCTATCCACCCCACAAACCCCCCCCATCCCCCACAACCTCCCCCTCCTCCCCCTAAACACCCCCAAAACATCCATCACCCTATAAAACACACCCCCCCAAACAAACCAACCCCCCAACAAACACCAAACCCCCCCCACCCAACATCCCAACCCCCCACCACCCCCCCCAAACCCCCAAACAAACACCACACACCCAATCACCACAACAACTACTTTACCATCACCAACACCTACACCCCCAACATAACCAAAACCCAACAACAACACCACCCAAAAAAACCCCTAATACACCCCCACCACCACCAACATCCCCAAAACTAAACCCCCACAATAATCCAACAACTCACACCATACACCCCCCATACTCCCCCCCCCATAACTCCCACCAACAATCCTACCTAACCCCAAAACTCAATTCCCCTACACCAATAAAATCAACAACCAAAAATAAACCCACCCAAAAATAAACAAAATATCCCCAACTACCCACCATCAAACACAACCAAAACAATACCCCTTTCCCATAAACCCCAATTAAATTAATATAACCCCTCCTTCCATATCCATACACATATAATCCAAATCCATCCAAAACCCTACCTCTCCACCCCTTCCCCCCAAACCCCAAAATACACCATACAACCAACACCAACCCAAACCCCAACCTAAACACCAATCAAACAAATTCCCCCAACTACCTAAATTCAAACCCTCTCCCCCCCTACCACATTCCTCAATAAAAAAAATCCCCCCAATAAAAAAAACCCCCAACAACACACCCACCCAAAAAAAAAACCCACCCCCAAAACACCCAACCCCACAATAACCTACCCCCAAAATCACAAAAAACCCCCCTCAACTACAAACCCCCCCCCATAAAACCCCAAACAACCAACTACCCCCTACATCCCTCACCTATCCCTCCCATCCTACATTTCACTCTCTATTCCCCCCACTCCCCTTCCCCTCTCCCCCCCCACCATCACTCCCCCCCCTCCCTCCCCCCCCCTCTTCCAAACCAAACCAAAACCACACTACCCTCCCTCCCCCACCCTCCCCTTATCTCCCCTCTTACCACTCCCCAATTCCTCCCCCCTCTCCCCCCCCCCCTCCTCCCACTCCCATCTACTTCCCTTACCCCCAAATAAAACAATATAAAACCTAACACTAAAACATCCAACCCCCATCAATTATTAATATAAATTCACAAAACTACATCCTATCAAATCACTCCACCACATTCCCCATACATCCACCACACACCAAAACCTACCCAACACCCCCTCCCTCCCCCTCTCTTCTTACCCCCCCCAACCCCCACCCCCAATCCACAATCCCTTCCACCCACCCCAACCATAAAAAATCACCAACCTCTATAATATATAAACCAATTATCCCCTACCCCACAAAAACCACAAACCCCCCCCACTATCCCACCCCCCCTTATCCCACCCCTCTACCAACCCAAACCCATAACACATCCCATATCATCCACATAATTCCATTCACCAAACCCCCATAAAAAACTCCCATAACCACCCCCCATACACCATACACCACCACCCCATAAATTCAAAAAACCCCCAACTAACCCCCAACCCACAAAACACAAACCCCCCCCCAAATACCACCCCCCCCCAACCACCCCATCCCAAACACCACCCCCCTCCAACCCCACCAAACCCAACCCAAAAAAAAACCTACCCCCCACACCAACCAACCCCCAAAAACACCCCCAACCCCCCACAACAACCCCCAAAACCCCCCCACAAAACCCCCAACCCCAACCCAACAACCCCCACCCCCCCCCACAAAAACACAACCCCAACACCCAAACCACCACCAAACCCTCCCCACAAACCCAAAACAACCCCCCCCCCAAACACATACCCCATAAAAAATAATCCAAACCAACACCACAACCAAAAAACCCCACCACCCCCCACCCAACACCACCACACCCCCAACCAAAACAAACAACCACCCACCACCACCCAACCAAACAAACCCACAAACCTTCACCCCCACACCCCCACCCCCACACCACACCCACCCACCAAAACCCCCACAAACAACAACACCCCACCCCACAAATAAAACACCACACAAACCACCACCCCCCCCAAACCCAACATACAACATCCAAACACACCAACATCAAAACACCAAACCCCCCCCAAAAAACCCCCTCAACCACCCAACCCACCCAAAAACCACCAACAAAAATCCCCTTACATCCCCCCCCCCCACCCCCCACCCCACCACCCCCCCCCCCCCCACCCCCAAAACACCCCCCCCCCCCACCCCCCCCCAAACACAACACCACCCCCCAAAACCCCAAACCCAACCCCACCCCCCAACCACCTACCCCCCTCATACAAACCTCACAACCCAAAACCCCCACACCACCAAAAAAACAACCACCAATCCACACCTAACACACCCCCCCACCCCCACACCCCCCCACACAAACCCCCACCCCCAAAACAAACTCAACCCCCCCCACCACCAACCACCCCCCACCCACCAAACCCACCCAACCAAACCCCCCAACCCCACAAACCCACCCACAACCCCCAAAAAAACCAACCCCCCCCCCCAAACACAAAAAAACCAACCCACAACCCACACAAACCACAATAAACAACACAAACCCCCAAAAAAATCACCACCTCCCCAACACACTCAAAAAACATAAAAAAAAAAAAAACCAACCCCCCCCCCCAAAAAACACACCCCCCCCCCCTAAAAAACCCCACCACACCAAACCAACCCAAAACCCCCCCACCCCACCACAACAACACCCCCCTAATAACAAAAAAAACACACCCCATCCCAAAACACACAAACCAAACACACACCACCCACCCCACCCCCCCACCCACCAAACCCAACACCCCCACACCAAACCACAAACACCCCCCACCACCACCCAAAACCAACACCAACCTCCACCCCCCCACCCCCCAAACCCACCCAACACCCATCCCAAACCCACCAACCACACAACCCCCCACACCCCCCCCCCCCCTAAACCACCCCCTAAACAACCCAACCCCCCAACACAACCCAAACCCACAAACACCACCCCCACCAACCACCAACAAACCACTCCCCCCCCACCACCCCCACCAAACCACCCCAAACCCCCAACCCCCACCCCCCCAAAATAAACCAACCCCAAAACAACAACACCCCCTCAAACCCCTACAAAACAACCCCCCACAAACCACAAAAAAACAACCACAACCCCCAAACAAACAATCCACCCCCCACCAATCAAACAAAACAAAACACCCAAACACCCCCCCAACAAAAACACAAAAACAAAATCCACCCTTCCCACTACCCCCCCATCACATAACACCCCCACACCCAAACAATACCAACCCAATCACATCCCCCCACCCCCCCCATTACCAAAAACCCACACCCAAACATATCAACCACCTATCCACCCCCCTATAAAATACAAAATAAACTACCACATACATATATCACAAAAATAATCCCCCCAAACACTCCAATCCCCCTTCCACATCCCCCTACCCAATATCCTCCACACTCACCACAATAACTCTCCAATTAACCTCCCCTCCTTCTAAATTAACCCAACCCCCCCCACATCCCCCAAAACCCTTCACCCAAAATCAAATATAATATACCAATTACCTCCCCCAACCCCCCCCAAATCCCCCTCCCCATCCCTCACCCCAACCCACAAAACCCCCCCACCCCCATCACACAAACAATAAAACCCCAACACAAAACCCCCAAACAAAAAAAACAACACCCCTCCCATACACCCCACCAAAAACCCACCACCCACAACCCCACCCAAACAACCCCAATCACTCCCAATCCTCCATATTCACCCCTCCACCACACACAACCCACCCACCCCCCTACCCCACCCCCCCCACACCCCAAAACAAAAAAACCCCACCCCCAAAAACATCCAACAACACCTCCCCCTCCCACAAAAAACAACCCCCCAACCCAAACCACACAAAAAACCAAACACAACATCACAAATACAAACACCCAAAAAACACCCCTCCCCAACAACCCCCACACAAACCCAAATACAAACAAATACCCCCACCCCCACCCCAAACCAAAAACACAACAACCAAAAATCACAACAATACCAACAAACCCCTAACCCCCCACCATCCACCCCCCACCAAATAAACACCTACAACACCCAAATCCCCACCCACCCCCATCCCATAAACTCCCTCCCCCCCCAACACAAAAAACCCCCCATTTCCCCCAAATAATTAACAACAAAAACCCCACCACACCCCAAATATCTCAAACACCCCCCAAATCCTCCAAACAAACCTACCCACCACCAAACACCCCAAATCCTCCTTCCTCCCCCTACAAACAAAAATATACACACATCCTTCCCTACCCCCTCCATATCCTCAATATCAATTTTAAATACAACCCATCCCACCTAATACACCAACCCAATCCAACAAATACACATCTCAACATATAATATCAATCATATACACCCCACCCCCCCCAACCCCCCAAAACCCCAACAACACACCACAACCACCCAACCACAACATAAAAAACCACCAAAAACCCACAAAAACCCCCCCAACACACCCACCACCCCAAACAAAAAAAACCCCCCCCCCCCAACAAAACAAACCTCCCCCCCCCCCCCCAACCACCCCCCACCTACTCCAAACAAACCACCCAAAACCCCAACCCCCCACCCACACCACAAACAAACAAACACATCCCAACCCCCCAAACAAAATCCATATCCCCCCACCCCAACCCCCTTCCCCCAAATCAACCCCCCAAAATCCAACCAAATTCCCCCCCATACAAACACCACCAATACCCACCAAAAACAATCCAATTCACTCCCAACCACATTCCCAACCACATCCCCCTAACTCACCCCCACCCCCCACCAACCCCCATCCAACACCCAACCAACCCCCAACACAATAAAACCCCAACAACAAACCAAACCACCCCAAAACAAACCACACACCAACCCAACCCCAAAACACACCCACCCCCAAACTCCAAACAACAACCCCCAACACAACAAAAACAACCAACCAAACACAACCACCAACACCACAACCCACCCACCCCCAAAAACCCACCCCACCCATCAACCACCCACCCCCCCCCCACCACCACACAATACAAAAACCCCCCAAAAAACAACCCCATCACAATCTACCAAACAAACACACATACCAAAACCCTCCAAAAAATCAACTAAACAAAAATCCCCAAATCCTCCCACCCCCAAAACCAAAACCCCAAAACCCCCAAACCCACACCCACACAACTAAACCCCACCAAACCCCACAAACCACCACACACACAACCACACACCACAACAAATCCAACACACCCACACCACCCACAACCACAAACAACAACCCCTACCAACCCCAACCCCAACACACCACCCAACCAACAAACCAAACCCCCCATACATAAAACCCACACAAACCAAACCCCAACCCCCACCCAACAACAAACAAACAATACACAACAACCCCACCCCACATCCCCCCAAATACCACACACATCCCAACCCACCCCAACCACAAAACAACCCCCCCCACATCAACACAAAAAAACCAACCCCACCCAAAAACACCATCAAACACACAACCCACAAACCAAAAAAACAACACAAACCCAAAAACACCAAACACCAAAAACACTAAAACAAAAAACAAACAAAAACCCCAACAACCAACCACACAACCAACAACAACCAAACAACAAACCCCCAAAAACCAAACCCCACACCACAACACAACCCACAAATCACAAAAACAAACCAACAACACACCCATCACAAACACACCCCAAAAAACCACCAACCCAACAACACCCAAACACAACACCACCCAAAAAAACAACAAAAAAAATACCCCCCCCCCACAACCCAATACAACAAACCACCAAAAAAAACCCACCCCAAACAACCAAAACACCCAACAAACACCCAAAAAAAACCCAACCAAAAACAAAACACCCCCACAAACACCAACAAAAAAAACCCTACAACACTCCTTTAAACCCTACCCCAAATCACCCACCCCCCACACAAAAAACCCAAACACACCCCACAAAAACACCCAAAAATCACCACCTACAAACACCCGCCCCCACAACAACCCCAAAAAACCCCCCACCCCTCCACACCCCCCTTTACCCCCAATACCAACTTTCCCAAATACCCACCCCTAAATCCCAAACTCCCACCCTATCACCATCCCCCCCCTACCACCTCCCCAAACCAAAACAAAAACCTACCCACCACCTCCCCTATCTAAAAATAAAAATTTATCCCCCCCCTCTAACCCCTATTCTCCATCTCAAAAACACACCCTAATCTCACATCTCTCAAACTATCTAACAAACCCCACAACCAACTCTTAAACAACCCAAATCTCACAACCTATCAAACACCCCAAAAAAAAATAAAAAACTACCTCTACAAACACAAAACCCAACAAAAAACACCCCACCCCCCACACCAACCACCCCCACCCACAAACCACAAAAACCACAAAAACCTAACACCCAAACACAAAAATCAACCCCAACACCACCCCCCCCAAAACAAAAAACCCCCCCAAAACCAAACAAACCACCAACCAAAAAACAAACAAACCCCCCCACAAACAAAAACATACCCAACCCCAACACAAACAAACCCACCACCCAACCACCCCCCACAACCCAAAAAACCCACCAACCCACCACCCCCCAACCCCCAACACACCCCACAAAACCCAAACCCACACCACCCCCCCCAACAAACCCCACCAAAAACCCAACCAACACACCCCCCCACACCACACCCCCACACAACAACCCCCACCCAACACCCCCAAACAACACAACCCCACCTAACCCCACACCACCCACAACCAAACACCCCACCCCCACAAAACAACCACACCCCCCCTCCAAAACAACCCCAAACCCAACACCAAAACCCCAAACAACCACAATACTACAATAACCCCAACCACACTCCAAAAATACCCCAACAACACCAAACCAACACCCCCCCCCCACCAACCAAAAACCAACCACAAACACCACAAACACACCACAAACCAAAACACACCCACAACAACCACCACACCCCACAACAACAAACCCCCACAAAACAAAACACCCCAAAACAAAATACAAACAAACATAACAAACAAAAAAACCCCCCAACCATAACAAAAACACACTACCAACAACACCACCAAACATACAAAAACCCCACCCCCTATCTCACTCACCACACCCACCCCCCCCAACCCCCCACCACACCACCATAAACCCTAAAACCCAAAAAAAAACACAACTACACAAAATAAAAATCACCCCAACCAAACTAAAAAACAAACCCAAACACAACCAACCACACCACCAACCAAACCCAAACCACTAAAAACCCCCCATCTCCAACCCAATACAAATCCCCAACACACACCCCCCCACCACACCACCCCCCCCAACCAAAAACAACCAAAAAAACACAAAACCCAAAATTAAAACATAAACCAATCCATTCCCCCCCCACCCCCTACCCCATACCCTCACCCTCTATCCCCCCTTCCCCATCCCCCCCACAATATACCCACCCCCCATCATCCCATTATTAATATCTCTCTCTTTCTCATCCTCTCTAACAATTCTTCATCATTATAAATATAACTTACTCTACACACTTTCTAATCTCTATATAACTAAATAATCCACCCCCCCCCTATAAACCCAAATCTCCCCCCACCCTTTTAACTATTACACCCAACACACCCCCCCCCACCACCCCCCCCCCCCCCCCACCCCCCACACCCCACCCCCAACCCCCCAAACCACATCACCATCCCCCTCCATACCCAACTCCCCCCTCCCAAAACCCCAAAACACCCAAACCCCAACAAACCATAACACCCCAATCACATTACAAAAAATCACCCCCTCCCATAAACCAATCCCAACCAATACTCTTCCAACCAATCACCTAATCCAAAATCATAAAATCAAAATACATATATCCTACCAACCCAATCATCCTCCAACTCACATCACCCCCCCCCCCCAAACTCTCCTACCCATCCTCAATCAAAAAATACATCTTCCCAACTCCCCTCATCCACTCCCAATATAACCCTACTCCACCCCTATCCAACCCACTCTCTACCACCATCAACCTATATACCTTCCCATCTATCCCCATCCCCCCCCCCCCCCCCCCCCCCCAAATCCCTCCTATCCCATCCCATCATCATATCAACCCATCCCCTCATACACATTCTCACTCATATCAATTCTCCCCCCCCCCCATTCAATTTCCCCCACATCATAACCCTCATCCCATCCATCATCCTCCCATCTCCCACCCACCCCCACCCTTTCCCATCTTTCATTTCACCATAATCCATCTCATATTCTCCCCATTTTCTATATAAACACAAAATCCCACCCCCCACCCCCAATCATCTATCCACCCATCTCCCTCACCACATCAACAAACAAACTAAAAATAAATAACATAAATTCCAAATCAATAACAATTCCCCCTCCAAATCCCTCCCCCCTCCCCCTCCCCTCCTAACAATATCATACAATACCCCCCCTCCCCCTATCCCCCCCCCCAACCCCATTCCCTACAACTCCAATCCCCTCCCCCCCCCAAATCCCCACACCTACACCTACAATACTCCCAAAAAATACTCATAACCCCCACAACCCCCTACTCCAAAACCCATAAATAATAAACCCCACCCCCCCCCCAAACCCCACCTCTAAACCCCACTACCACACCCCATAACACCAATAATCACTCACCTTAACACCACAACTCCACCCTCTAAAAAACTCTCACAACCCCTATCCCTCCAACCCCCCACTTCCCAACAAATACCCTATCTCCTCTCAAATTCTAACCCCCCCACTCTTCCCACACTCCAACTCCACCCATCCACCCCACTAATCCAAACCCACTCTCAACAAATACTCCCCCTATCACAACACCCCATAACCCTTCCCCCAAACCCCTCAAACAAACCCCTACTCACCCCTAACCAACTAAACATAACCTTAAACAACTCACCAATCCCCCCAACCAAATATAACCCCCATCTTATCCATAATCCACATCCCCCATACCCACATCTATACTCCCCACTCACCTTCCACTCACCCCATCTCACTCAACTCCCCTCTCTCAACCCCCCCTCAAAATCATACAAATATCACTCCCCCCCCCCCCCCCCCCATACTCACAAATTCACACAAATTCCTAAACCCCCTATCTCACCCCCCTCCCCTCAACTCCAACCCCCCCCCCCAATAACTCCACCACCACCATCCCCCCCCCCCCCCCCCCCCCCCCCCCCCCCCCCCCCCCCCCCCCCCCATACCCACATCAATCCCAACTACCATCACCACCACCAAATCAACCCAATCATTAAAAAAAAACAACACCCCCCCATCCATCCCCAACCACAAAACTCACCACCCCTACCACCCACCCCCCAACCCCCAACTACCAAAACCAAAATCCAAAAAAAACCATAACACCCCCTAAAACACAAATCCAACTACACACCAAACACCCCCCCCCCACCACATACCCCCTCCACACCCATCCCAACCCACCCACTCACACCAACACCACCCCATACATAACCTCAACATTCACCCACTCCTCCCCACACCCCACACAAATACCCACTCAACTCCCCCCCCCCCCCCCCCCCCTACAACCCCACCTCTCCACCACCCTACCCTACCCCCCTAACCTCAACCCCTATCCCCACCACCCAAACCCCCCTATCACAATACCCAAACTAACTCCACCCTAACACACTTACCACCCCAATCCAACACCAAACAAATACTCACTTAAAAAAAAAATAAAAAAACATAACATCATACTAAACTATATACCCCCCCATATAAATAAATAAAAAACAAAAATAAATACAAACAAAAATCAAATAAAAAAAATACAAAAAAAACACAACTCTTCACCCCACCCAAACACAAACAATATCAAACAAACATAACCCAAAAACATAAAAACCACTAAAAAAACCAAAACAAACATACCAAAAAAACCCAAAAACACCACAACAAACACCAAAATCAAACACCAAAACACCCAAACCCCCCCCCCCCAAAACAAATACACAACCACACCACACCACCAACACAATCAACAAACCCCAACAAACCCTTCCCACAAACAACACAACCAACACCAACACAAACACCCAACCCAAATCAAAAAACAACCCCCCCAAACACACACCCATACACCAACCAACCACAAAAACACCCACCCCCCCAAACCCCCCCCAAAACCCAACACACCCCCCAACCCCCCCCAAACAAAAACCACCAAAAAAACCACCCCACCCACCCCCCCCCACAACCCCAACCCACCCACCCCCCCCCCACCACACACACCACCCCCACCCCCCCCACCCCCAACCACCACCACACACCCCCCACACCCCACCAAACCCCCCCCCCACCCCCCCCACCCCACAACCCCCCACACCCCAAAAACAAAACCCAACCCCCCACACCAAAACACCCCACACCCAAACCCCCACCAACACACACCCCCCCCACCCCCCTCCCCCCCCCCACCACCCACCCCACAAACCACCCCACCCAAAAACCCCCAAACCACCCCACCACAACCAACACCAAACCCCCCCCCCCCAAACCCACCACTAACCCCCCACACCACAAACCCACAACAACTACAAAAAAAAAAACAAAAAACCCACACACAAAACACCCCCCCCAACACCTCCCAAAACAACAATCCAACCCAAAACAACCCCCAACAAACCCCCACACCCCAAAACACAAAACATACCAATATACCCCCATCAAACCCACTCCCCTTATACAACAAACCACCCAACAAATAACCCACCAAAATACCCACCTTTACCCCAAATAACCTATCACACTCCACTCCTATACATATACCCCCAACCCCCCCCCCCCCCATCAACTATCCACATCCAAAAACAAACTATTAAATCTTACTTCTCTTCCTCTCACTTCTAAATACCCTTTTCTTCTATATTCTAACCCACCCATTCCAACCCATCAATACCAACAAATCCATCACCAACCCAACATCAATAACACAACATACAAACACCCCCAAAACTCTCATCCTCTCCCCATTAATAAAAAAAATCTATTTCTTCTCCCCCCCCTCTCTATAAAATCTACTCACCCTAACCTTAACACAACCCCAAAAACAAACCACCTCACACACAAAAAATTCCCCCCCCTCACCCCCCCTATCACCCCCTAAACAAACACATCTACTAAAACCATAATCTTTAACAACCTACTCATTCTCACCCTACTACTAAAAAACCTCAATAATCAAATCATTTTCCTCCCCACACTACCCATCTACAACCACCTACTCATACCCTACCTACTTAACCCTCCCTCAATATATTATCCTCTCTTCCTCCCTCTTCATCTCACCATACCCCCCATACCCCTATCCCCCCCTATTAATAAAAATTACAATCCCCCCCTTACCCATTTTTTCCTTCCCCACCCCTCTTTATCCACCCTACTAACCTATATCAAACCCTCAAATCCTTTCCCCCCCCCCTCCCATTTCCCACATACCTCCTATTATCCCCCCTTTCATCCTATCCCTTACCTTATCTTCCATCCCTCCCACCCCATACCCCCATCTTTAATTTCCCCTTTCCCCAATTCCTTATACTATTCTTCTTCCCCTTCACTCTCAACCCCTACCATACCCCCCCCCCAACCACCATCCCCCCCTCCCCCATTTCCCCCTTTATCAACTCCCCATCCCCCCCACCCCTAGACCCCCCCCACCACCACCATCACCCTTACCATACTTCCTATCTCTCTTCACTATCACCCCTACACCACAAACCCCTCCCCCATCCACCCCCACATCCCTCAATACATCCCTAATCTTCTAAACTCCCCAACCATTAAACCAACCACTCCCCAATCACCCCACCCTCTTCCATAAAACCTCACTCCAATCACCCTCTCTCTACAATCCTTCTTAACTCCACCCCCTCCCTACCCATACTTACTCCACTTAACCCACCCCCCCCTCAACTTTAACCTCCCCCCACCTCCCACCTCAAACATATCTCTCCTCATCCCCAATTAATCACATATCCCCCCACCTATACATTCTCACTTCCTTCTCCCCCCAACACATAACCTCTCCTTCAAACCCAAACAACCTACACCCTTTCTACCAATCAAAACCCATCAACAAATCCAAAACAACTAATATAAAATCCTCAAAATCAAAAACCTCTTCAAACTTTCCCATATCCCCACCCAAAACCAACACCCCTCAAACATTATCCCCCCCCTTTCCACCTAAAATAAAAAATTCCTCCCCAATCAAAACTTCATAAATACCAATTCTACTTAAAAACTACACATAACACACCTCACTCCTACACTACAAATACCCCCAAACCCCCCACAACACACCCCTATAACATTAACACCACAATCCAACCTCTCTATAACAAATACCCCTACCATAATAACCCACAAAAAAAACCCCACTACACCACCCACAAAAACATAAAACACCAACAACCAAACTCAACACAAAAAACTACCCCAACAATCCCTACCACCAAAAACACAAACCATACAACAAAAACAACACACCCAAAAAAACCCCACACACACCAACCAACCCAAAAAACCCCCACACCCCTCCACCCAATAAACCCCAACAACCAAAAAATCACCCCAACCCCTCACCAAAAAACACCCCCCCACCCCCCCCCCCCCCCACAAACACCACCAACAACACCCAATTAAAACACCCCCCACATCCACAAAAAAACCCTAACAACCCCAACCCAACCCCCCAACCCACACCCTTACCACCAATTAAACTATCCCAAAAAAAACCCCAATAACACCTCCCCCCCACCCCCCCCCCCCCCCACAAACACCCCCAAATCAACCAACCCCCCCACAAACTACCACCCCCCACATACAAATAAAAATCCCATAATTAAAACAAACTCCCCACCCCCCATCCATCATCACCTTCACTAATATCCCACCCTACCAACAAATCCCCCATCCAAAAAAAACCAACTCCCCTACCAAACCCCCCCCCTACCCCCCTCCCATAACCCCCTCCCCCTAAATACACTCCCTCCACCATCTCCACCAAAATACCCCCCACCCATCTCCCCCAACCCTCCCAACACCCATAAAACTACCATACTCCCATTCCCCACCTTCAAATTAAATTTATAAAACTATCTATCTTTCCCCCCCCTTCACCACCCACATATCTTCACCCCACCTACCAAAACTTACCATCCCATCCTCCACTCTCACCCCACACACACCCACATCTCCTTCACCACCCCAAACTCCCTCCCCCCCATACCTTCCTACCATTTCCCCACCTATACCTCACTCCCCTCCCCACTTCATCTATCCTCCCCCCAACCCCCCCACATCCCCCCCCCTAAATCACCTAAACCCCCCCCCAAAATCAAAATATTTTCCCCCACATAAATACTAATCTTACTCCCACACCCCCCCCCCACCCCTCCCACATCCATATCCCCCCCCAACATCCCCCCCCCATTATATCCCCCCCCTCCCCCCACCTTCCTAACCCCTTATAATATAAAATACCCCCATTAAAAACCATCCTCTCAACCCCCCCCCCCCCACCATACACCCACATTCCCTCAATCTAACACCCCTCCACCCTACCAACTCTAAATCCAACTCACACACAAAACCACCACCACCTAATTATAATAATATCTCTTCACCAACCACAAAAACAATCATTCATACACCAACCCCACATACCCTCGTTCTCCCATAATAATTTTTCCTACAATCCTCATCCCCCCCTTTCCCCCCCCCCCCCCCCCCAATCCATCCCATACTTATCCTTTCTATAAATCCCACCTAATATATAATCCAACCATAATATAACCCCTACACACATCATATACAAAATATCAAAACAAACACTCCACCAATCCCCCCCCCAAAATCCCCCCCCCTCCCCCCTATATCCCCAAACCCACAAAATCCACCATTACCATAAAATACATATCCCACTCCTCCAAACTTTACACTCAATCTCCCAACTATCCCCACAACCCAAATCCTTAATTCCCTCACCCTCTCACACAATCTCCTCCATCAAATAACAATCTAACCTTCCCATCCAAACACAACATCATAATATAACCCCCCACAACTTACATCTCATATTCCACCCCATTTACCCCCTCTCCCCCCCCCCCCCCCCCCCCCCCCCTACCAACAAAATCCATTCCTCCCCTCCCCTTCCCCCCTATAACTCCAAAATCAAAAAACAATCTACCAAAACAATCCCCCCCCAATTTCATACAAAATCATATTCAACTACCCCCAATACAAAATCCCCAAACTTTATCTATACCCTATCTAATCCTCCCCCCCAACCCATAATCCCCACCAACATCATACCCCCATCCATATACACCACCCCCCAACCAAATCAAAAACCACCCCCCCCCCCCCCCAACCCCCCCCCCACCCTCTCTCATAAAAATCAACACCCACATATCAATCCATCCCCTCAATCCCACAATTAAATCCAAAAAATAAAACACTATTCACCCCCCAAAACCCCCCCAATCCCCCACCCCCCATCATCTCCTACCACCAAACAAAAATATCCAAACAATTCCCCCCTTCTAACCTTCCTATAAATACCCTATTATCTAAAAACCCCCTCTCCCCCTCACTATCCTCACCTTATTCCATTCACTCCACACTATAAATATATTTTTAAAATAATAACCTTTTTCCTCCCCCCCCCTCACTTACAAAACCACAACCACCTCCCCAAATACCCCTAAACCCCCTCAAAAACTAATATAACCCCCTCAATCCAACCAAACCCACAATACACATCCCCACCCCCAAACACCCATACCCCCTCATCCTCCCCCACCACCATCACCTCCCCACCTATCCATCCCCTTCCCCAACCCCTATTCACTACAAACAACCCCACCACCACCCCCTTCACCACCCACCAACAAACACCCAAACACCACCTAATCTATCAAACATCCAACACCCAACCTTACCATAACCCTACAAACCCCCTACCCACTATCTTCAAATACTACCAAAAAATCCCCTACCTCCCACCAAACCCATAACACACTCCCCTATCACCCCCTTCATCACCAACCCCCCCCAACATCCCAAAACCCCACTTCCCAAACAACCCACCCCAACTTATTATCCCAAAAAACAAAAATACCCCACCCCTCCCACACAAACCCTAAACACTTCACATCCCAACATCCACACAATCAAACCTCCACCCCCACCAAATTCACCCCTTCTATCTCCACCCCAATATAACCCCACCCCCCCATACCCATATTTACCCCACCACACCCTAACCCCAAAAAACCCCCACACCAAATAAACCACACACCCCCCCTCCTACACTATACCACAACCCCCCCTACCATCTTAAAAACCCCCTCACCCCCCTCCCCAAACTAAACACAAAAACAATACCATCCAAAAAATCAAACCCACTTACTACAAATAACATAATCAACCCACAACCAACAAACCCCAACCAACCAAACAAACCCCCTACACAACCCACCACAAATACTTTCCTAACCACAATTCCTTCACCCACACCTCATAACCCCTACCCCCAAACCACATTCTAACAAAATCATTAAATCCAACACACCCCCCAAACACCACAAACACCCCCCAAACAAACATCCAACATCAACAACCAACAACCAACCACCACCCAAACCCCCAAAACAACCCAAAAACCACACAAAAAAATAACCACCACAAACACAAAACAAAACACCAACCAAAACCACACACAAACAAAACCACCCACCAAACCAACACACCCAAACCCCCCAAAACCCGAACAACCAACAATAAACAAAACACCCCCCCCCCCCCACAAAAAAAACCACACCCAACACACCACACACCAAAAACCCCAAAACCACACCAACCACCCAACCCACTCCCCCAATCCCCCCCCCCCCCCCCCAAAAACACAACACAAAAACCACAAAAAACCAAAAAAAACACACCAAAAACCCCCCCCACAAAACCACACAACCCACCCCACCACCAACCCACACCAAACACACACCCAACCCCCCCCACAAAACCCCAAACCCCACACCACAACCCACCCAACCCCCTCCCCACCCCCACCCCCCCAAACACCCCACCCACCAACCCACCAACACCCCCCCCCCACACACCCCCCCACCACCAACACCCCAACCCCCCCAACCCACCACACCTACCCCACCCCCCACCCCACACAACCCCCACACCCCCCACACTCCCCAAAACCCCCACCACACCCAAACACCACCCCCCCCCCCCCCCCCCCCCCACCACCACCCCCCCCACCCACCACACCCCCCCACCACACCCACCAACAAAACCCCCCCCACACCCCCAACCCCCCCCCCCCACAAAACCCCCCAAACCCCACAACCCCCCCCAACCCAACCAAACCCCCCCCCACCACACACAAACCCAAAACACCACTCCCCAACAAAACACACCCCCAAACCACACCCCACCACCCACCCAACCCACAAAAAACCATCACACACAACCCAACCCCCACACAAACCCAACCAACCCACAAACCAAAACCCCACCCACCAACCCCACCCACACCCCACCCCCACCAAAACCACAAAACCCCCCCACCCACCCCCCCCCACCCACCCACCCAAACACACCCCCCAACCCCCCACCCCAACCCCCCCCCCCCCAACACCCACCCAAACACCCCAACCACCACCCCCCCACAACCCCCACCCAAACACACACACAACATCCAACAAAACAAACCACCCCCCACAAACCCACCCCACAACCAACCACCCCAACCACCCCACACCCAAACACAACCACAACCACACCAAACCCCCCCCAACCAAACCCCCACCACCAACCACCACCACCCAAACACAAAACCACAACCCCACACCCACCCCCCCCCCCCCCCCACCCAACACACCAACCCCCCCCCCACCACCCCCCACACAAACCAACACCCCCACCAACCAACCACAAACCCCCCACACACCCACCAACCCACAACCCACCCAACCCCCACACCACACAACCACAACACACCCCCCCACCAAACCCAACCAAACCCCACACCAACACCAACCCAAACCAACCACCCCCCAACAACCTAACCCCCCCCAACCCACCCTCCCCAACCCACCACAAAACCCCCCACACCAACCCCACACACCCCCCAAACAAAAACACACAAAACAAAACACACAACACCCACCACACCACACCACAAACAACCACACCCACCCAAAACACCCCACCCCCCCACCCCACCCACCCACAACCCCCACCCCCCCCCACCCCCCCCCCCCCCCCACCCACCCCCCCCCACCACCCAACAACCCCCCCACCCCCCCCCCACACCCCAAAACAAAACCAACCCAAAACCCCCCCACCCCCCCCCCCCCCCCCCCCCACCCCCCCCCCCCCCAACAACCCCCCCCCCCCCCCACAAAACCCCACCCACACACCCCACCCCCCCCCCCCACACCCCCACAACAAACCCCAACAACCACCCCCCACCAAAACCACCCCCAAAACACACCAACACCAAAAACCCCCCCAACCAAACAAACCCTACAACAAAAAAAAACCCAAAAACCAAACTCATATACCCAAACAAACCCCCATCAACCCACATAACCCCCCCAACCCCACACACACACCCCACAAAAATACCAAAAAAAAAACACCCAAAACACACAAACACACAAACCCCCCCCCACCCCAAAACAACCACCCAAAAACAAAAACAAACCCCAACACCTATACCAAAACACAAACAAAAAAAAAACCCCCCAAACACACCCCCCCCCCCCCCCCCCCCCCCCCCCCCCCCCCCCACACCATCCACCCCCAAACCCCCCCCCCCCCCCCCCCAACCAACCCAAAACCCCCCAAACCCCCAAACAAAAAACAAACAACACCAAACACAAACCCTCACACACAATACCTTCCCCCCATAAATTATCATCAAACCAACCCCAACCACCCCAACAACAAACCCACACCCCCACACCCAACACAAACAAAAAATAACAAACACAAAAACCCTACACAACCCCAAACCCCCCCCCAAATAAAACCAACCAAAACAACACCAACAACACAACCCCCAAACCCAACCCCCAAACCCACCCAAAAAAATAACAAAAAAACCCCCCCACCACCCCAAAAAATACCACAAAAAAAACCACAACAACACAACAACTACCCACCAACAACCCAACCAACACAAACACAACCCAACCCCACAAAAATCCCCACTATCCAAATACAACAAAACACCCCATCCCACCCCATACCTACCCAAACCCCAAAAACCTCCCAAAAATCCCCATACCACACCCCAAATCACAACTCTAACCACCACCAACAAAAACCTCCCAACAAAAAATACCAATCCATCCACCCCAAACACAACCACACCAAACCCCCCCACATATAACTAATCTTTCCCCCAACAAACTAAATATCCAAATACCCCAAAACCACAAACCCACCAAAATCCACACCACAACACTATCACCACACCCCTTCACCCAATAAATTAACCACAAAACCAAACATATTCCCAAAAAAACAATCCCCCCCCCCCCAACCACCCCCCAACACCAAAAAACACACAAACCCCACACCCCTACCTCCCCAACACAACACCCCCAAAACCCCTAAAATACAATACCTCATCATCCACCAAACCATATAATCCAAATACCCCTTAACAATAAAAACTCCACTCCACTCACTCCTAAAACCAATTCATTAAAATACCTTCCCCCATACATATACCCATCACACTCAACTCCTCACTATCCCCCCCCCCCCCCACCCTCCCATCTACATAACAAACTCCCAACCCCCATACATCAAACCCCACCCACCCACCCTAAAAAAACCTTACTGCCACACATTTACCACTTAAAATCTTAATCTTAACTTACACTAAACACTTCTACCTTACCCCAAATTCACACCAAACCACCAAACAAAACCCACCCACCAACCCCACACACCACACCCACCACCACCCCCCCCAAACCCAAATCAACCACACCAACCCCTACAACAACACCATCAACTCAAACCCCCAACACCAACCCAACAAACACACCAAACCCCAACCCAAACACACCAAACCCCCACAAACACAAAAACATCCCACCAAAACACCCCCCCACCAACTAAACCAAACCCCACCAAATAAAAAAACAACACAACCAACACCCTAACCAACAACCACTACCCCCCCCCCACCCCCACCCCCCCCCCCCTATCCACCTCTAAACCCCCCAACCAACAACCCACATCCCAACCCAACCCAAACAACCCCCCAACATCAACCCTATCACTCCCCCCAACCCCCCACATAAATAAACCAATATCAACCCCAAAAACCCCAAAAAAAAACATAAATCAAAACATACACAAACATACCCATATCCAAAATATCTATCATAACAAACAATATACAAAATAAATAAAACATATCAAAAAACAACCAAAAATAACAAAACCCCACACCCACCCCCCACCATAAACCAACCCCCAAAAAATCAACCCCCCCCAAACCCCCCCCCAACCCAAACTAACAAACATCCTCCCACCCCCACCCAACACTCACCAAAAACCAATACTTACACAACCCCCCCCCCACCCTAAATCCCTATTAATTTTCTTTTCCTTCTATTATAAAACCCAAACCCACCACACCATATCAAAAAAAAAAACCACAACACACCCCCACAACACAAACCCCACACCACCACCAACCACCCCCCCCCCCACCCCCCACTCACACACACACCACCCAACCAACACCAACAACAAACAAACAACCCCCAACCACATAAAACAAACCAAAACAACCCCACCCACCCCAACACAAACACAACATCCCCCCCCCCCCACCCCCCCACCACCCCCCCCCCCCCCAACCCACCCCCCCCCCCCCCCCCACACCCCCAACCAACACCACAAAACAACATCACCACCCCCCCACACCAAACAAAAACCCCACCCACACAACCCACCCCCACCCCCCCACCCCCCCACCCCCCCAAACCCCCCCCCCCCCCCCCCCCCACCCCCCCCCCCACCCCCACCACCCCATCAACAAAACCCCACCCCACCAAACAACCAACACACCCACAAACACACCCCAAAAAAAAACCCCCCCCCCCCCCCCCCCAACACACCACCAAAACCCAAAACAAAACCAACCACCACACCACCAAAAACCAACAACAACAAACAAACAACACACACCACCCACCACCCCCCCACCCACACCCAAACCCAACAACCCCCCAAAACCCACCCACCCCACCCCCCCACCCCCCAAACCCCCCCCACCCAAACATCCACACTCAACCAACCAAACCACCCCACCACCACACAAACCCCACCCACCCCCCCTAAAACAAAACCCACAATAAAAAACAACCCCCCCCCCACCACCCCCAACCCCACCAACCAAAAAAACCCCCTAAAACCAAATAACACCCCCCATAACCCCCCAACCCAAACTACCCCCAACCATACCACCCCCACAATCCCCTCCCAACACCCTCCCAACTCCCCCAAAATCCAACCTCAACCCCCACCCTCTCCCTCCTCCTACATTAATAAAAACCCATCACCCCCACACTCCTCATATCCCCCCCCCCAACCCCCCCCACCCCCACACACCACCACCAACCACAACAACTAACCCTCCCATCCACACCATCATAATAAAAACACAAATACCCCACCCCCCCAACTCTATCACCCAAACCCAACTACCCCCCCTTCCCACAATACAAACCCTACTAAACAAAACATCTTACTCCCCCACAAACCCACCCCAGACAAAACCCACCCCCCACCCCCATAATTCACCACAAACCCAACCCCAAACACACCCCCTTCCCCCCCCCCCCCCATACCCACCACCCCCTCCCACACACTACCCAAAATCACCCCAATCCAACATACTCCCCAATAAACACCCCCCCCCCCCCACAAAATACATACCAAACCCTCATCACAATACCCACAATAAAATAACATAACAAAATACAAACACTCAATCCCAACTACCCCAAACCCCCTAAAATACCCCCCTCCCCCCCCCCACAACCCCCCCTAAACATAAAACACCCAATAAAACATAAACCCCCCCATTAAAAACCCCCTTTCCTAACCCCATCCTCAACAACACCCCTTTCAAAACCCAAAAAAACCCAAACCCCCCACACCACCCCCCAAACCCCCCAAACCCAAACCCACCCCCACACACCCCCAAACCAACCACAACACCAAACAACCCCACTAAACCCTAACACACCCCAAATCACCCCTTACCCCCAAACCACTACAACCCCCACCCCAACACACACAATCCCCACCCCCCCCCCCCCCCCCCCCCCCTCACCACCCAACAACACAAACCACAACCCCCCAAATACATCAACCCAACAACATACCCCCCAATAAACCCTTCATCCACCCACTAAAACCCCAACCAACCAACCCAACCCCCCCCCAAACCCCCCCCCCCCACACCACCCCCCCACCCACCACACTACCCCCTAAACCCCCCTCCCCCCATATTCCCACCCCCCTCACCCTCCCCCTCCCATCTCACACCACTATCTTCCCCTCCCCTATAACTCCCCCCCCCCACCACCCCCCCACTCTCCATTCCCCTTCATCTCACACCCCCCCAATAACTACAAACCATCACCCTACTCCATCATATATATCCCCCAATTCCTAAACAAAACAACTAAAAACCCCCAACCCCCATATAAACATAAAAAAACTCCCTCTCCCACCTTCCCCTACCCCCTAAACACATCCCCCCAAAACCTACCCCCACCTCCCTCCACAAAACCCCACTCCTACCCCACACTACCCCCCATTCTACCAATACTCTACCAAACCTACATCCCTTACTTTCACAATCACACCACCACACCATCCACCAACACATCAAAACATCCTCTTATATCCACATCCATCCTTACATCCCCTCCCTAATTTCTTCCCATTCATTTAACTCCTATTACCCAAAACCAAATAACCCCCCCCCCCAACCCCTTCACTCTAAATCTTTACTCAAACCCCCCTCCACATACACCCCCCCCCCCCCCCCAAATCCCCCCATATTTTCCAACACTCCACTTTAATCCCCAAATACCTTTCCAATCACCAAAATCTATCTCCTCCACCCACCTCCATTAAACAATTTTATATATACCATTATTATTTTAACCCCCCACACCATCCCCCCCCCCCAAAAACTCCATACCAACATACCACCCCCCCACATTATTACCAACCCTCCACCCCCACTTCCATCCCCCCTCCCACTCATAAACCCCCCCCCAAAAATAACCTATATCAACACCACAAAATATCCAAACTCACCCCCCCTCATAACCAAAACCCCCCACCCTCACCCCACACCCCCCCTACCTCAACCACTCCTTAAACACACCTAAAAAACAAAACCCCCACCCCCAAACCCAAACATAAACACAACCACACCCCCCAACAACCAACATACCCCAACCCACCACTCAAAACCCCAAACCACAAATAACCCCCACCCCCACCACCAACCCCAAACAAAAAAAACAACAACCCACACCCCACCACCATCACCATAAAAATCAAAACCCTAACACATTACCCCACAAAAAAACTAAAAACACACAAAACCCACCCCCCCCCCCCCACCAAAACCCCCCCCCCACCCACAAAAAACACAAAACCCCATACCCCCATCCCACAACACCCACACCAACACCAAATAAAACAACAACCCCCACACCACTCTCCCACACCACAACCCCACAAACACACCCTACACCCACCACCAACCCACAACCACCCACAAAACCCCCAAACAAACAACACATCCACCCTTCAACCCCCTAAATTAATACTCCAATTCAAACAACTCCCCCCCTATAACCCAACATAAACACCCCCAAACCCACCAACAACAAAACCCCCCAACCCCCCCCAACAAACCCAAAAACACCCACCACAACCAACCCCCCCCAACCAAACACAACAACCCCCCCCCCACCACCCCCCCTCCACCAAATCCAAAAAATACCCACCAACAATAATACATACCAAAACAAACAATCAAATACCCCCAAACAAACCTCAACACAACCTATAATAAAAATAAATAAACATATCTTATTCTTTCACCCCATCCTCACTACACCCACAAAACCCCTCACCATATATCCCCCCAACACCACTCAACCAATCCCCCAAACAAATACCCCCTCTCCATCCCCCCAACACACAAACTACAACCAAAATAACAAAACCCCCACCCCCCACACCCAACCCCCCCCCCACAAACACCAAAACCCCCCACCACAACCCTCCCAACCAAACCCCCCTTCCCCATAAAAAACAACACAACCAAAACCTATAAACATCCCCCCTACCATCAAACAACTAAAACAATACATACAAAAATATCTCACAAACATACAACCAAACAACACAACACCCAAAACCAAACCACCCCCCAAAACATTTACCCTTAAAACCAAAACCCACCAAAATACCCACCCAAAAATTAACATCCCCCTCCACCATTCCCCACATCTTATTTTCTACCCCCTTCTTCCTTCACCAAATCTAAATCAACTCCCCCCAAACAAAACCCCCCTATACTATATTTAAATTTCCCCCTAATAATAACCTATACAATCCCCCCTTCCCCTCCCCCTCAACCCCTAATTCTAAACTTATCCTTAACCTACATACTTTCCAATCCCCCCCTCCCCCAACATTTCCACCTTCCCCCATCCCAAACCCCATCTCAAACAAAAAACCACAAACAAACAAAAAACCAAACACTCCCTCACCCCCCCACTCCCCCCCCCACCCTAACAAAACAACATCCCCCCCCACCCCCCCCCCCCATCTACCCCTAAAAATTCCCCCACCATCCCCTCCTAAAACTAAATCCCTCACCCCATAAAATAAACTCCACCCTAACAAACCCAACCCCCCAACACATAAAACCCCCAACACATCACAAAAAAACTACCCCCCCCCCCACACTAAAAACAAAAAATACCCCACCCACCAAAACAATCCAAAATACACCCCCCCCCCACCCCCCCCATAAACCCTCACCCCCCCCCCCCAAAACCACCACAACCACCTACCAAACACTAAAACCCCCCAATCCCCAAAAAACCACCCTACCCCAAATAAATAAAATACAATAACCAAAAACCCAAAACCCCACCACCAACACAATCAACAAAAAACATACCACCCCCATAAACTCCCCAAAACAAAATAATCCCCCCCATCATACTCCATCCCACCTCTAATCACCAACAAACACCCCAAAACCTCCCCCCCCAAAATAACCCTAACCCCACCACCAAAACCCCCCATATCCTCCTCCCCCCCTACCAAAACCCCCAATAAAATACCCACAATCCTATCCAACCAAAACCTAATCCCAATTCCAATCAAAAACCAAACCCCCCTACAACACCACCAATCCCACCCAAAAACACATATAAAAACCCTCTCCATACAATCCCCACCCCCACCCCCCATAAACCCATACTTCCTAACCTACCACACCCTCAATTCACAAAACTTATTATTCCATCAAAAAAAAAAAAACCCCCAAACACTCCCACCACAAAAAAAAACACCCCCCCCCAAACCACACACAAAACAAAACACCACCCCCCCCAACACCCCCCACACATAAATTCAACACAAACCCCAATCCCCTCCCAGCAACCTCCCCAATAAACTCAAACACTCAACACTATCCCCCCCCAAAAAAAAATATTCCCCCAAATTCCCCCCAAATTCACCCCAAATTCCCAACAAATTCCCCATTCAAACATCCAAATTCCCACCAAAATCATCCAATTCAAAATCCCAATTCCCCCATCCTATCCCTAAAACAATCCCTCCCTACCCTCCTCCAACCCATACATTATCACCATCTATCCTCCCACCCCCCAATCTCCTATATCTCTCCTAAAACCCCCTCCCCCCCACACATTTCCCCCCCCCAACCATCATCCTAAATTACAAAAACATCCTCAATATCCCCCTAAAACATCCCTCACATCCATAAAACAACGAAAAATCACTTACCCCTCTAAATATAAAAATCCTACAATCTAACATCATAACATAATAATAAACAATCAAACATTACCCCCCCTATCCATACATTCCCTCCTTTATCCATTCTCAAACACCCAAAACCTCCAAACTAACCCTACCCACACCAAAACACCCCAAATACCCTCCATCCTACCCAAACAATAAAATAACACATCCTCCCAACCATCCCCCTATTCCTCCATTATTATTCTTAACCCATCACTAATACACCACCCAATCCCAACACAATACAATATCATATATCCAAAATCTATAACCACCCACACCCCACCCCCACACAACCAACCATCCATCCCTCCTCTCACACAATACAAAAACCACACCAACCCCAACCCCCACACCCATCCACCACCCCCACACCACATCCCCCCCCCCCACACCACACCCCTCAACAAAACAACCCCCACCCACCCTATATATACCCCAACATAATACCACTATACCTATAAATATACCCCCCCCCCCCCCCTCACATTCAAAAAATCAAATCCCCCTCCTCTCTCTCTACCATATACCCCCATCCCCCATCACCTACCAATCATAATAACCCACACCAAAATCTACACACAAAATCTCCCCTCCCCAAACAATCAATCCTCCCAATAAAATCTTCACCCAAAACCCCCCCACAAAATCTCTCCTATCATCAAAATCCTAACACCCCCCCCCTTAAAATCCCCCCTAAATCCACCACACCAATAACATCCCCCATCCCCCCCTATCTTCATACAAAACCCCAACACCCCATAAAACAATCCCCCTCCAAATACTCCCCCTTAAACCCTCACCACCCCCCAACCCCCCCCCCACCAAACCTAACACCATACCCAAAACCAACAATAACATTCCCCATAAAACTCACTAATACTCTCAACCCCTATAACAATTCCCCCCAACCCCCCCCCCCCCCCACTCCAACTACCCCCCCACCCTCCCCCCATACAATCAAAAAACCCCCACACCATTCAATCCAAAATCCCACACAAAAAAACAAACAAAAACACCAACCATCCCCAACTAATACAACTCCCAATACTACAAAAAACACCCCCCACCCTCCTACACCCACACCCCCCCCCCCCCCTCCCAAAAACCATCTCTTTCCCCAACTTACCATACCCCCCCCCCCACCCCCCCATTCCCATACCTCCACTTATACCCAACATAACTATATACCCAATTAACATACCCCTATACCATATCCACCTCTATATACATCCTCCATACATTTAACCATAATCTACACATACCCATACCCATACCCATAAATACATATAAATTAACTATTATACAAATTACCATACATATTAAAATATCCTATATAAACTTTACCTCTCACCCTTCTCCCCCTCCTTCCCTTCTATCTAACCATTATACCTCTCTTTCTTTTACCCCTCCCTCATCACCATATCCCTCTCTTCTTCATAACCCTCACTAATTAAACACCCCCCACACCCCACAACCCTAAACACCCCCACTATCCAAACCCCACTCAAAAAACCCCCCTCCCTACCCTCCCCTCAAACACACAACCAATAAACCATCCCCACCCCAAATCCCCCCCCCCATCCCCACTCACAAAAAATAAACATTCCCCTATCCCTTATCCACCCACTTTAAAACTCAACTACCACACAAAACCATCCCCAAAACCAACACCTCCAACCCCAACTACCCCCCAACATACTCAATAATAATAACATTCAAACAAATCCCCTCAACCTCTCCCCACCCCAACCCCATCCCCTTAATCCCCCCCCTCCCCAAAACCCCCAAACATACATCCCCCTTCCCCCACCTCTTCAACCCCCCACATCCCCTAACTACCATCCCCCCCCCCCTCCCCCCCCCCTCAATAACCCAATACCCAATCCCCCCCCTATAAAACTTAAAAACCCATAACCAACTTACCCAATCAAATTACACTCCTTAAATCACCAAAATCACCCATCTTACACCTACCTACATTTCTCCCCACCCAATCAAACCACATCCCCAAATTCACCTCATACCACAAAACCTCTCCATCCTATCACCCTCCCCTTCTATATCCATCCTCCTCCCCCCCCCCCCCCCCTCCCATATCACATCCACACTACTAACACTCACCCAACTCTACTATATTCTTCTTTCAAAAAACCCATTTACAACAATTTAAACACTAAAAAACCTCATAAAAAAATACCTCAACTTATATACCAATAATACCTAACTACCCCAAACAATACCCCCTCCCTTCAAATATCATCACCTTCCATACTCAACACCCCATACATTCCAAAACACATATATATAAACACAAAAACATATAAAACACCAATCAACCACATCACATATAATTAATCAAACCCCCCATTAAAATAACCTAAAACTCCTCAAATACTATCCAACCATTTACACCCCCTCCACCCAATAACAATACAATACAATACAAAACCACTTCCCATACCATAACATTACACCCCCCAAACAAAACACCACAAAACCCCTATCCAAAATCCAATAAACCCCCCAAATAACCCAAAAAAACACACAACCTCCCCCCCCAAATACCTTCACCCCTCCCTCCTAATCTCTTAACCCTAATCACACCATCCCCCATCCACATCCTCATAACCCTCAACTCCCTACTACCCCCCCCCCCCCACTCATAAAACAATAATCTATATTTCATTCCACAAACCATATCCTACCCCATAACAACACCTAAACATAATACCTCTACCATCATTTTACCCTCCATACATACCCTAAATTTCATCTTCATACAATAACCCTCACCCTACCTTAACCAATACCACAAATTCTACCATTCAAAAATAATATCCACACACATATCAACAATATATATACAACCCCATCAAAACCAAAAAACCAAAAAACAAAACTCCACACCCCATCTCAATCATATTACACCACCCTAACCCAACCCCCATTCCATATAATCATATACCTTCTACTCATCTTATACCTATAACATCCCCTTACCATCAATTACAACTACAATAAAATAACCCCCCCCCCCCATACCAACCCCCCCCCCCCCACACTCCAACCCCCCACAAACCAAACATCACCACCCCCACCAATAAACAACAAACCAAAAAAACCCCAATCCCATCCCCCCACCACCACACCCCCCCCCCCCCCCCCACCCCAACAAATCCCCCTATACAAAACCAAATTTCCACCCCCCCCCACAATCAACACTCACCTCCTACCCCACACCCCCCCAACCAACATCAAATATAATTAACACCAATCCCCCCCCCCCCACCCCTTAAAAATCAAATATAAAACAAAATCCCACAAAACCATAATCCCCCCCCACACAAACCCCCACCACACCACCAAACAAAACCCCCCCCCCCCCCCAAAAACATCCCAAACTCACATACCAAATCCCTCACAACCCATAACAAACAACAACCACCCCTCCACCATCCACAAACATATCCCCCACACCTCATCCCACCCTCCCACAACCCCCATACACCCCCCTCCTTCCATAACCCAACCCAATTACATCATCCAACATATCCCTTACCACCCTATTAACACCCCCCCCCCCCACAAAACACCCAACCACTCCCCAAATTCCCCCCCCCCCACTACCTATCATAACTATTAAATCACAAACAACCCACATAATCCATAAAAATCTCTCCCCCCCTTCAACCTATCACAACAACTTACCCCAATCATCTCCCTATAATACCAAAATCCAAAACATAAACCACCCAACCCCCCCCTTAATTCCATCAACCCACTTAACATTACCCATAAATCCCACCCCCCTCTAACATCACAAATACCCCCATCACCATCATCCCCCAAACATAACCCCCCCCCCCCACCCAAATACAAAATTCAATTCAATTCTACAATAATCTACAACCTACCCCTACCCCCCAACCATACATAAACCCCCCTACCATATCATCAAATCTAAACATCCTTATAAAAACACATCATATTCTACTCCACCTCCCATATACCCCCATATTTTACTCCCCCCCATCCACCCAATTACCACCTTTCACCCCTCTAACCCCCTCCCACAACCCCCCCCCCTCATCCTATACCCTTCTTCATTCAAACACCCCCCATCCCAAACATAATAATCACCCCCCCCCAAACCCACCACCTCATAATCCTATCCACTCTCACCACCTCCCCTTCCCCAAAAACCCCAAACACAATACCACAAACATATCTCTCCACATATCCAATACCCACCTAAAATAAAAACTATTCCCTTCTATTCCCCCCCCCCCCTTATATTAAACCCATATATAACTCCACATCAACCCTCAAATCCCCCAACATATAACCCTCTCTTAACCAATACAACCCCCTCTCTTAAACCCCCCTATTAAACCAAATCTATCTACCCACTCCCCAATCCACCAAAACCCAAAATAACTCCAATAAACCCCCAAACACAAAAAAAAAACACCCCCACCCAAACAATCACATTAAAATATAATCCCAAAACCCCTATCACCTCCAAACCCCTCCCACCACCTCCTCTAATTCCCCCACCCACCCATCCTACCCCTACCCCCAACCCTACCCAACACAACAACCCCCACAAATCATAATTAACATCCCCACACAACCTAAATCTCATTACCAAACCATCCATCTATCATTCCCATATCAATTCATCACCCTTCCAATACAACCCTATTCTATATTCACCTATACCACCACCCTATTCTTATTATACACACAAACATTCCCCCCCCACAACCCCCCATTATCTCTACCCCCTCAAACCAACCTTATCCCCCCCCCCCCCTATTATATCTAACTTCACCACATTTCCCCCCCCACTTAATCCCCCCTTCCCTTCCCCCCCTCTAAACAAATACCCTCCACCCCCAACCCACCCCCCATCCCAACCCTATCATCCACCCCCCTCACCCCCAACACAATCAAAAAATCTAAATAACCCACCTTTCTCTCTTCATAACATCACAACCCCCCCCATCCCCATCCAACCCCACAAACCAAACATCAATAATAAACTACCCCCCCCACCCCATCCCACAAACCATAAACACAACCTCCCCCACACCCCCACACCCCAACAACCACCCATCCTCTATACAAACACCATCAAACACCTAAACATCCCCCCCCCCACCATAAAAACCATCCCCCCCCCCCCCCCCCCCCCCCACACCCCAATCCCCCCCCAAAACTTCCCCCAATCTCTTCATTTCAACATCCACACTTAACCTACACACCATTTAACACTCCTTTATAAAACCCCCCCCAAATAACCCTAAACATACTTAACTCCCAACCATTCATTTAATCCATTTTCACCATCCCCCCCCCCCCCCCAGCTCCATTTCCCCCTCAAACCTTCATTCCTACCTTATCAATCCTCAAACACCCCCCAATACACTAACCCAATCCCCTCAAAAACAAAACACCACACTAACCCACCACCAACCAAACTACCCACAACCCCAACACCAATCAAACAAAACACAACCCCAAAACCTTCCCATCATACCACCAAACCACCCCCCCCCAAAACAAACACCAACAACACTAACCCCCACACCAAACCACCCCCCACCTACCCAATCCCCTCACCTTAACCACCCTTCCCACCCCCTCTCACCATACAAATTAACCTTCCCCCTCTCTATAAAACCCTACCACAAAAATCTCCCCCCCCCTTCTCCTCCCCCTATCCCCTCTCATTTCCATTCACATATCACCACCACCCTTAAACTATTCATCCCCTCCATTACCCCACTCAACTCCCCCACACACACAAAACACACCACTAATAATAAATTAATCTCTCTCAAAAACCCACCTTCAAAACCACATCAATCTCTAATCCATCCCCCCCAATACAACATCACCAATACCCCCTAACTAAATACCCCCATTAACCCATAATACTCTCCACTCCAAACCCCCCAAATAATCCAATCACCCCCCCCCTACCAAACTATCCATACATACCTATACATCCTTCAAAAACCCCAAACCATATCAAAAAAAAAAACACATCCCTATCACTAATATTTCAACCCATCAACAACCCAATCCTCCAATACAACCCAATCCACCATTCCTACAAATAATTAACACCACCTCCCAAAACAAACAAATCAACAACCTTTTTACCTAACCAACCACAAATCACACTCACCCCACCCCCCTCATCATACCCCCTAAACCACCACCCCTATCATCCCCCCCTTCATACACCACCCCAACCCCCTTCTTCTACCTACCCACATCTCTCTCCCACCTTATAAATAAAACCCTTTCTTACCCATCCCCCCCTACCCAACTAAATTTCCACCAACCCCCATCCCCCTCAACCATCCCCACTCTCATCTACCCCAACACACCATCCCCACACAACCACCACCCCACAATCCCCTCATATAACAACATAACCAATCAAAAAATAAAATAAAAATATATCAACCCCCAAAAACATACCCATCCCTCCTAACCACCACCAAATCCCCCCAATCATACTAACCACCATACACATACACCATCAAACAAAAATCACCCCCCCAAACCCACAAAATCAATCATAACTTCCCCCCCACCCCTCCCTTCCGTTTTTCTTTCTCAATTATAAAAAACCCCCCCACCTCCCCCCCAAACAACCAAAAACCCCCCACCACCCACCCCACACCAAAACAAATAAAACAACCACCAAATCAATCAACAAACAACCAAAAATACCCCCCACCAAACCCAATCCAAATAACAAACCACCAAAAAAACCCCCAACCAAACACCCAACCCACACAAAAAAATCAAACCACACCCCCAAAAAAAAACCCCCAATAATACCAAAAACATCCCCAACACCCAACACACCCCACCCCCTTCCCACACATCTTACCCCCCCAACACCACAAACCCCCCCCCAAACACTCCCCCACCCCCATTCCTCCACCCACTCAAACTTCCTATTCCCAAACCACACAATATCTAACCCCCCCCCCCCTCACACCATCATACTCCCTCACAAACCCATACCTATCCCAAATCCCTTTCCCCATTAATAACTATACCCTCTATAAAATCTACACATACCCCAATCACACCATCCCCAAACCCACCCACACAATAAACCCTCCTAAATCCCCATCCCCCACCTATCTCCTTCCCCCAATTCCAATCCCCAACTAAATTCCTCTAACTACCCACCCCACCACACCCCCCAATAATCCCCCCCACACAATTACACCCTCACTCCCACACATCCCCCTCCATATACCCAAATCCTCCTCATCTTACCTCCTCTCCTCCCCCCCCCCTTATCCCCCCCATACCCCACCCCCCCTCCCATCTTAACCCCAACCCCAATTCCACCATCCACTTCCCCACTCCACAAATTCCCCCCCTAATCATTAATCACAAACCACAACTCAACCCCCCAATTATTACTTAATCAATTCACCCCCCCCCATCCCTCATTCACCCCCCACCATCATACACTTAACCTTCATATTTTTATCACAAAAAATACCCAAAATCATACCCCCAAACAACCCCAAAACAAAAATACCCCCCCCCCCTAAACCCCAAAAACATACCACTACCCCCACTACACCCCAAACCACCCTACCCCCCACACCCCCCCTCCATTCAAAATCCCAACCACAAATCCATACATACCTTCCCCCCCACCCAACACACCACCCCCCACCCCCACTCCCCCAAATTCAATTATTAAACCCCCCCCCCTTCCTCAAATCCCACATTCATATCCCTTATCCCACATCTCCCCCCATCAAAAATAAACACCCATTCCCCCCAATCTACCAATATACCAAAACACCAACACCCTCAACAACCCCAAATAACACAAACCACTCCTTATAACCACCACCCTACTCCAAATACCACCACAATACACAAACCCCCCCAACCCACACAACACCCCCCCCAACCACCACCCCAAAACAACCCCACAATACCACAAACCCCTCAACAACTTCCTCCATCTCCACCATACCAACAAACCATCCAATCCTCTCCCATAAAAAAAAAATCACCAAAAACCTCAATAACAAACCCACAACAACTATTACCCCTCCCTTACAACATCTTACAACAACAACCACACCCATCCCCATCCATCACCATAAATCCCCTACATCATCCCCCTTAACCCTATCCCCCTTAAAATAAAATAACCCCATAAATATCAAATTAACCCCAACAAATTAAACCCCCCCACCTCTTTCAACATCCCCACCCTTCTTTACTCCCCCCCCCCAATAATACAAATTCCCAAACAACCTTCCCCCCTCCCCACCCATCACCCATACATACCCAAAAAACTAATCCAATTACCCACATAAATCAACCCCCCCAACCCCCCAATTCTCCACATACTAAAATAACACAAAACAATATAAATCATCCTTTTCCCCCCTAACCAACCACACCCCCACCACTCTTCAACATACTCCAATCCCACATCAAATCCCATCAAAAATCTCCAACCCCAATACCCCCCCTCATTTCCCATCCCTAATACACACACCCCAACCCACCACCTCCAAAACCTCCTCCCCCCTTACAAAAACCAAACTCAAACAACCTTCCACCCATCAACCTTCCCTACCTTCACCATACCCTCCCCCAACCCTCAAAAAACCTCCCCCCCCCACACCACACACACCACCCCCACCACCCCCCCCCCCTAATACCCTCATACCCCTACCCCATCATCACAATACCACTAACCCCCCACTACTCAAACCCCCCACTCCCCAACCCCTCTACCCCACATCACACACACCCATCACCACACCCCCCCCCCTATCCACCCCCCTCTTCCCCTTCTCCTCACCCCATCCACCCCCTCCCCCCAAAATTCCACATATATCTCAAACCCCCCCCTCCCCCACACCACTTACCACACTCCCTCCCCATAACCAATCCCTTCATAATAATCCAATCCCCTAATTTATATACACCCTTCTCCCCCCCCCCATCAATTCCCCCACTTAAACCCACTTCTCCCCCCATAACCCCCAACAACCCCCCCTCATAATTCAATCCCCAACCCTAACCCAAATCCAAAACCCCACCCACCCCAACCCCCCACCCCAAACACAATACACTCACTTACCCTCCTACAACCTCTTCAACCCCCCCCAATTCCCACCCCCCCTTACCTTCCACCCACAAACCCACCCCCATCCCCCACACCACTCCCCCCTCCTCCCCCATACCCCCACCATAATACACCATACTATAATTCAAACCCCAAAAATAATTCACCAAAATTCACCCTCCCCCCCCCTCCATCCCCTCTCCCTCCCCCAAACCCCCCATTTCCCCCTTTCTTTTTCCCCCCCCCCCAAATTCCCCTTTCACCCTCAACTTCTTCCTTCCACCATCACATTCCACTCCCTACCCCTACTACCCCAAAAAAATAAACTAAACAATCAAAACTTTCCACTCCTATCTATCCCCACAACCAAACATCCCCCTTATTCTTAACATCAAACTACCCCCATCCCCTCCTCAACTCCTACTTACACCCCCCATTATCCCCCCCACTACACTCCCCTCTCACACATAACTTCCATTAACCCCCAAACCTCATTTCCATTCTCCCCCCCCATTAAATATCTTCCAAAATTAATCCCCACAAAATTAATCAATATATCCCCAACCAAACCCTAACACTCAAAACCAACAACCAACCAAATACCCCCCCTTCCCATATACCCCATTCCAATATATAACCCTCCCCCTAATCATCATCCAAACAACATATAATAACATCCATCAAAAACCCCTACTTCACCACCTCCCCCCCACACCACAAAATACACCATTAACCACAAACACCAACCCAATCCCACCTTACACATATCATCCTCATTCCCCCTATTCATACTATTCCCTAACTCTACCCCTACCCCACTTACCTCATTACAAAAAATCCCCCCCAATAAAAAACACCCCCAACAACACACCCACCAATACAACATACCATCCCCCCAACTATCCCCAACCCCACTATTACACCTAACCCACAATATATAAAAAAAAAAAAAACACAAGAAAATCAACCCCCTCCCTACCTACAACCCACTCCCAATTCCCTTTCTCCTATATATCCCCTCCCCACATCCTACTATCCTCCAAAAAAAAAAAAAAAAAAAAAAAAAAATTTAATTTACTCTCTCTTCCCCACTCCCTCCTCCCCTCCCCCCTCCTTCCCCACCTCCCCCCTCCCTCACCCCCTCCTCCCCAAACCCAAACCAAAACCCAAAACTCCTCCCTCCCCCCCTCCCTTTTCTCCCTCTTCACCACTCCCCAATTCCCCTCCCCTCTCTCCCCCTCCTCCACTCCCCACTCTATTCCTTACCAAATAAAACAAATATAAAACCGAAACCACCTAAAAAATAACCCCCATCCCAATTTTAATAAAATTCACAAACTCCCATCTATCAAATCAATCCACCACCCCATTCCCCATAACAACCACACACTAAACCTACCAACACCCCCTCTCCCCTCCTCTTCTACCCCCACCCCACCCTATCCACAATTCCTCCACCACCAAAATCAAAAATCCACAAACCATCTAAAATATTTAAACAAATTATCCCCCTACCCCACAAAAACCACAAACCCAAATATCACCCCCCCCCTTATCCCACCCCCTCTACCAACCCCCAAACCAATAACAACATCCATTATATTCAAATAAATTCCATATAAAAAAACCCATAAAAACACCCTCCAACATAAACAACCCCCAATACACCTTTACACCAACCACCCCCCATAATTATAAAAACCCTCCCCAACTAACCCCCCATCCAACCCATTATTTCACCCAATCACCTATCCAACCCCAACTCCCACATCCCCTAAACAACACCCCTCCTACAACATACCCATACCAATACCATATACCTACCCCAACACCTAATTCCCCTATCTACATCCCCCCCTTCCCATCCACTACATAAAACAATATACCCAAAAACACATAAAAAACCCCTCCCCCCCCCACCTCACAATTATCTCCACACCCCCCATACCCTATCCAACCCTACCTAACCCCACAATACAAACTATCTTCTACCCCACCCCCCAAACAATACCAATATATATATACATCATACATACATCATCCATAAAACCCACAAACATCCCCAAATCCACCATCCTCCAATCCCCTACATTTCATCTACAAACAACCTCCCCTCCTTTCCATAAAACAATTTCATTTATTCAATCTCCCCCCTCCCCCCCCCTCACCCTCACCCACTCCATCACCTATACAAACCTCTTTCTTCCCCCAATTTCCACCCCCCACTCCTACTCATCCACCTTTTATATATATATCCCCATCTAATTCAACCCCTCACTCCCCCCCCCTTTTTTCCCCCTACCATTAAATCAATCACTCCATCATCTAAACAAACCCCTAATCAACCCCTATACATCCCAACCCAACCCCCCCCAAATTACCCCCACCCCCCAACCTATTAATAATAATATATCCCCCCACTTCCACTAACCCCCTACCACACCCAACCACCACCCCACAACCCCCCCACCCCCCCCACCCCCCATTACAACCCCCCCCACACCCCCCCATAACCTCACAAACACCCAATACCCCACAACCCTACCAACCCCAACCCCCACCTATTCATTATTAACCCTCACAATCAAATCCCCCCTACACACCCCAACATATAATCAAACAACCTTCCTACAAATATACTCTCCCACTCTATAACAAATATCCTATACAAACCACCCCTAAACCTCAACCCCCTATACTCAACTCCCACCCCCCCAACCCTACCCCAACATACCAACCCCTCCCACCCTCAATAACCCCCCCCCACCATACCCCCCAATTATACACCAATAACCCCCATTAATACACATCCCTCTTCCCCTCATTATAATACCAATACTCCCTACCCCCTCCCATCATTCCACTTTATATCCCCTCAATACCCATATCATCACCCCTCATCCAAACACAATCTTAAAACATAAAATAACCCCCCCCCACCCCAAAAATATACCCCCCCCTACAAATAAAACTCATAACTCCCTTCCTCACCAACCCCCCCCATCCTCTTCATCTTCCCCTAATTCATAATACAACCCAACCCTCCCTCCTCCACATAAAACAATACTCATTTACTCTCCCTCCCTCCCATCCCCCTACCCCACTCCATCCCTATACAACACCCTCTCTTCCTCATTATTCTTCCCACCCCCCACCTCTCATCCCCCTTAATCCCAATATCAATTCCTAAATCACTACCCCCCCCTTACCCTACATTCAACATCCCCAATCATCATCATCTAAACACAAACCACCAATAATCACACCCCTATAAAATACCTAACACCCTCACAAATCAACCCTAACCAACCTCCATTTATCCCCCCCCACACCCACCCTACACACACCCATACAATACCAACTACCACACCAAACCTCATCCAAAATTAATACCTATCCCCCATACACCCCCACCCCCCCCCCCCAATACTTTAACTTTCACACCATTACTTCATACCCCCTCACCCTACAATACATCCAACATCAATCCAACCTTCAAATAAAAATACTCTAACCCCCCCCCCCCTAAATACATATCTTCCCCCCATCTCATCCACAATATCATACGAAATACCTTATCTCCCCAATTCCTACTATATCTTTAAAAAATTCAACCTTACCCCCTCATCCCCCTATCATATAACACCCCCTCTCCAATACATCCCTACACATAACCATACCAAACTCCTTATACCACATAACCCCCACTCTCCCATCATCCTCATAATATTCCACACTTTACACATATAATTTTCTTTTTTAACACCTTACCAACATAATTATATCTATAATATTATCCCCACTTCTCTCTAAAAATCCCCCCTTCCTCCACAATCATTCCCAAATTGACATACCTACATTATACCTTTTGTATATCCAATTTCCTACCTCCCTCATTTCTATTTTATCCAATCCACCTCTTCCCCTTCTCCACTACTCCCACATATGTCCTCATTTACTATTATACCAATTGTCAATACCACATCCCCCCCCTTTTCCAAATCCCCCACTTAAATATTCAAGTATTCTTTCACCCTCATACGCTCCGTCCGTCTCTTAGTCCCATCCCCCCTCCCTTCCATATTGTCCTTTATTGTTGCGTTGCTATGAGACCCTAAGAAATGGATTAAATAATTGAATTAACTATTTCAATGACCATACCCAGAAATTTAATTAACTTTTAGAAACTGTATTCAATTCTGTCCTACCTAACATCCAAAAATATCTCACTAAACTACATTCACAATGGAACCACATTGACTAAACTATTTCCTGATTTATACATACAACATTTTTTGACATTCCAGCTTACTACCCTCCACATACCTTACATATATCCATTACGTTCCCATTTTTGACGTTGACTTTTATATCACCTTTATCCATGAGGTTTTTGCGTTTTGCACTCATATTTCTGTATAAAATGCACAACAACTGATTACTAAAAATCTACTGTGCATTCTCCGGAGTTGGTTGTGGGGGGGAACACATCACTGCAAAGGCATACTTCTTCAATTTCCACAAGTATCAGTGGCTCTATTAGTACTTCTATCTTCTCCCTCCCCCTCACTAAACACCAAATCACCCCATTCCCCTGCCTATATATAAGTTCATTACCTAAATTTGCAAATCAATACCCTGCAAAATTTTTAGTCAGCCAACCGTATCCTTCTTTTCAAATCATGGGCCCAAATTTCGCTTGGGTTTGCTTAGTTTAAAATACTCCTACATAAATCTCACTGGGACCTCAGCGCTGAGAGTGGGATGAGCTCCTCCTCTGCTTGTGGGAAATCTTCTCAGCTTGGGTCAAGCTCTTACTGTAGCAGCCGCGGTCGAAAAGATGGTCTCTCAAACTGATGGTCTCTCAAACTGATGGTTCACAACTTTCTTTTATTGAGCCTTTCCTTTTGTGTGAACACACCGTAAGAGCTACAATATAAACAGACAAACGATACAATTAGTAACTCTTAGCAGCATGTGTTTTACCTTATACCTTTTTAACCATATACTATCTTAATGAATTACCTTAAATTATTAACTTTGACAATTTCTACTTTGAATGCTATAACCATGTATTTCTATGTATATTTATTAAACCCTTTTTTACCTTGTCCTTTTAAACTAACTTTAGACTTCGTCTAAAAAGAAAGAGGGAATTAGGCTGTAAAAGTATTATATTATTAAGTTAAACTACCCAATTCACATTCAAGTGGTGACTTTTTTTTTTGTTTTGACTACACGCCTGACCTTACTGTTGCTGATGCCACAGCAGAGGAGCCTGGTCTAAAATGTGCTCCAATTCATACTGACTTCATTTGAAAAATGCTGCAATTATTTTAAATTAGTAAAATAAATGATGAGATAAATGTTCATGGATAATTAATCACACAGTACAAAAGTATATAATACATAGTTTAAAGTTTAAAAAGGTTTTTTTAGATTTGAGTCTTGTTTTTTTATATTAAGAGTTTCTGGTCTTAAAAATGTCATCATTAGTAAGATAATAAGTAATCTTTTATTTACATAGCGCTTGGGAAAACCCAGAGCGCTCCAAAATTGTTTTGACTTTAGGGAGAAAAACAATCTCATTCGCATACTGATATCTATTGTTTTTTTAAATTGGGCGTCTCAAGGATTGTTTTTCAGACTCTGCCTCACTGTACGAGAGGTCACTGCTGGACACTGGACAGGGCAACGCCCACCCAGCCACAGGTCACAGAGCTAAGAGCAAAGGGCAACAATGCCACCTCTACGCCCCTCCCCCCACTACAGAAGTAAGTGGGAGTGAGACCGGGGCCATGAAAGGGAGGTTTCTGGAGGCAGTGATGGGTGGAGCGTCAGGTAGAGACCTAGAGGCAGTTGAAAGTGTGTCCAGTTGGTTTGCATCACCACAGTGTGACCTTTGACACCTACGGGTGGTTTGAGGAGTCTGGAGACACAACCCCAAAATTCACATACACATACACACACACACATACACACATTCATATTTACATATAGATACATGAAAAAGTAGAACATGAGAAAAAAGCATTTTAAAAGTTTACTCCAACGTAAACACATATTTTGAATTGTCTATCACTTGAATCTTTATTTGAATCAGTATTTTTTGAGACCAGAAATGTTCATTTGAATTCTATATTGTCATGGACTTAATTGACCTCTGTCCTGACACTTTTGATTTGTTGATTTTGTACTGTGTGAAGTAATTACATTGATTAGATCTGATAAAAACACAAATTAGAGAAGTAAACTGCGCTTTCTTTTGTCTGAGGGACAGAAGCAACAGCATGAATAGAAATTGTGTTAAAGTAGAATCAAAGTGATTTAACCATAGAGAGTAACTACTGCATTACAAGCTGTGTACAGGAACTGTGACACTGCACCATTGACCAGAAGTGCATCCCAAGTGACCTGATGTGCTTCGAGTGAAAAGACTGTATCTGGAGATCCTGATGTGCATCTGGAGAGACCAAAACCATGGCTTGGACCCTACTGATGACCAAGATGACATCTCTCTATGACCTGACCTGATGACGACTGAGACTCACCCTCAGAGGACCTGAGGACCTGAGGACCTGAGAGAGAAAACTGGGGAGTGATGTTTATATTTCTGAAATCATACATTGATGAGTGCTAAATGAGAGAGATACTCATGATTCTTTCTTTTGTTTTTGTTTGTCCCTAGCTTCTGGACATCTGATGATCTATTGGACACAGCCATTTGCAGAACAAGAACCAGCCAATGAAAACGTCTATTGCCAATGCTCTTGCTACAACCAGAACCTGTGACAAATGCAATATACATGTTAAGTATTCAGACATCTGACAGACAAAAACTTTGAAAATGATAAAGTATAAGTATTGTAGCGTTTTAGTAGATGTTAAATAGTAGTAAAAGAGTAGAATTGTCCTTCCTTTGTTGTTCATAAACACATTTCAACTTAGAGTTAAAATAGTACCCTACAATGTTATCCTTTTGATAGATCAGCTATAATATTAGAATCAGAGTATTTTAGAGATATTAAAAGTGACAGAAGTCACAAATTAGGAATATGCCTTTGCTCAAGCTGCAACCGAGCTTTAGAGCCACAATAGTGTAGAAATAGAAATACAGTAGATAAATGCATCAACCATAGATGCTTTCAAAAATAGAGATTATTTGTAGCCAGTGCTAATATCAAATGGTAAAGGGACCATTTCACAAACATTTACTTCAAAAGTAGATAAAGTTAATTACAGTTTTATGTACAGTTTTTTTAGATACTGCCAAATTCACTTGTGTTCAAACATCTGTGAATGTTGACAATACAAAAAGTCCATATGAGTGTAGCCTAGATTAATGCCTAGATCAATGAGATAGATTACAACCAACAGAGATTCAAAAGCATTTTGATGTATTTGGGTATAGCCCACTGTCGATTCATCAGAACAGATTAGAGAATCAAACACCATTGTAGAATAACTGACCCCAACCCCAAACCTGCTAAAATAGATTAGCTCTTGTAAGG